AGACAGACACAGGGCTGTTATTACACTGTGGGGCACAGACACGGGGCTGTTATTAACACTGCCAGGGGACAGACACAGGGCTGTTATTAACACTGTGGGGGACAGACACAGGGCTGTTATGAACACTGCCAGGGGACAGACATAGGGCTAATATGAACACTGCCCAGGGGCAGACACCGGGCTGTTATAACACTACCCAAGGACAGACACAGGGCTGTTATGAACACTACCCAAGGACAGACACAAGGCTGTTATGAACACTGCCCAAGGACAGACACAGGGCTGTTATGAACACTGCCCAAGGACAGACACAGGGCTGTTATGAACACTGCCCAGGGGCAGACACAGGGCTGTTATTAACCCTGAAACGTGTTTTCTTTCTTCTCTTTTCAGCATGGAATAAACCTTTAAATTGTTCCTTTACTCCCTGTAGACACACAGTTATTTTCAATAAATTTGCTGAGGCTGGGGGTGTTTAGGGTATTTTTTCCTGACCTGGGCAGAAGTGTTAATGTTTTCCCGGTTAATTAAACAATAGAAGTAAAGAAGGACGATGCCGACTGGGGGAGGAACAATGCAGTCAATGCAGCTTCTAAACCATAGATAGGGATATGATGACAGATCTTCTAAAAGAGGCCCCTAACCACTTGACAACCAACCAAGTGGCAGCTCACCCGGCGCTGAAGCCAGCACTGCCGAGACCTGTTCGGCCCGCAGTGCCCCTGACTGTCCTGTTTTCCCAGTAGTTTCTGCTCTCTACACCAGTGCCCTGCGCGATCTCCTGCCCCGCCCGGGGCCCTGGCTCCTTCTTACCTTGCAGCAGGAAGAAGACGCCGCCCAGGCCGGCCAGTCGCCCCTTCAGCATGTAGTTGTCGCCTCCCAGCTTGGTGCACTGCAGCCCGACGATGCCCGACACCAGGCCTAAGGCGCCCATCACGACGGAGACGATCATGAGAGCGCGGGACGCCTGGATATATCCTGTCCAACCACAGGAAAGCGCGAGCTCGTGAGCCACGGGAATGACGGGTGAAATGAAGGAATAATCCGACGCAACAGTAAATTAACGAACGGATGGCCGGTCGCCCGTTTTCACCAAAGCAAAGGCAGAACCTCACACTTTTCGTCTACCACTTTCTATCAGTATAATCGATTTGACGCGATGTTTTTTTTTTTTCAATTTAACTTTCAAACACGCACAAATTCGACCGTTGAAGACGGTTCGGAAACTTCACTGTCCCATTGCGATTGAGTGGGTGCGAACACATCTTGTGACGCCGAGTTGAAAATAAGGAACGGATTGAAGACAAACCCCTCACTGCATCGGCTAGAGCCGATCAGTTCCATAGAGGGAAATCGATCATCGATGTCTGTGTTGAACTGATCGCCGTCGTCCGTTTTATAACTCGTGCGATCGGGTGGGGCTTTGGGACACGTAACCACCAGCAGTGTTCATCCAAAAATCAATCTGACGGGGTCTCTTGTTGCACACTCCCACAACTCTTCGAGTAAGGAGGAGGAGTACCGCCGCCTGGCCTCAATCTGAAATACACATCCTCATTGTTTCCACTCAGGGCTTCTTGTTCACGTTTCGTTGGTAAAGCTAATGTCTTTTGCTGGGTTGCCTCACAGATCCTAATGTCTTTATCTAAACGACATGCTCTGGTATATCTCGTATAGACGCACTCATAGCGGTAACAGTGTTTTAAGTTGGACTGTCTAAAAAGAAGACACTGTTGGGCTCATGTAGTTGCCAGGGATAATATCTAGATGTACTAATGTATAGCGTCGCCGTCATTTATAATCTGTACAGTTAGTATTAAACACGACACGCATGGCGTCCATAAATTAATCCGTAACCTCGGAGCCCTGAAACATATTCGTTTTCCTTTACATGTCCATTTTAATATGCCACTAAATCAGCGTCTTGAGCATTTCATTGATAATTAACAAGATAATGGTTAAGGTCAAAGAAATCACCCGATGATTTTATATCTCGATTTCGGGAGTTCCGCGTTGGCGTTAAATTTGATAATTTTGCAAAATCACATTATCCCGTCCGTCACAGAGCGCGTTTAAAACCCAGCCCGTCATATACAGCACGCAAATTCCACCTGGACAGCGAACGCCCATCAAAGGGCTCCGATGTCCTTTTACATTTCGAAATCTCCAAGGACGACGGCATAAATTTGAGCATTATCAAGAGCGTTCGTCATTTTTAACAGCGTGTTCAAATATCTCTCCAAAAGACATCTGCAGAATCTTTATGGCTTGTAGATACAGCTTTGCGGAATTCGCCCGCACGCTAATAAAACTACTTGTTCTTCAGAGTCCAAATTGGCCTAATTCCCCCCAGAACCCTCTGTGTCCTCCGGGAATTTTAAAGCACCGAGCTAAAGTTGCGTAGAAACGTGGACTACCGCACATAACCTCTTGAAATCGTCAATCGCTTAGAGAAAAGCAAAATTGCAAAATGCGCAATACGCGGTAAATAATCATCACGATTAATTTAATCCGTACCATATATAAAATATATGTTAAAGTGGTGTTTTTGAAGCCATACCATTCTGCATGTTCGCTGAACGCAAATAAAACATCCCTTTTATTGTTTTAGGCAGTAAAATCGGGCACGCTCTATCATTCTACTGTTAGAATGATACTCTACTCTACATTCTATGTTAGCGCCGCATTATACAATAATAATTAAGAAAGATCTATAGTTCATACGTTTCGTAAGTAGCCAGTTCTGAGCAAAACGTGTAATTAATTAGACAGCAGTATAAAAGTAAAGTAATACATTAATAAAAGCAATTGCGGATTATAACACCAATGGTATCAGAATAATTATTCTAATTAACAACTCTGCGATTACTATTGCCTAGACTGCTCCTTTTCTATATTAAAAGCTGTACCGCCGCCGCTACTGGTACTGTTGGCCACCAGCGCTTCTACACTCCTACGGCTCCAGAGCCTGTATGTTTCAACAGCCTCGCCGCGTTTTGGTGTTAAACCGAACCGTTAACACAAGGCGGGCAAAGTCAAATGGTATCTTGTCTTCTTTTAAACGAAGCACAGAAAGCCCGCGCTCCCTTTCCGTTAATTCTGTGACCGCTGAAGGAATAATCTACAAGCTCACGGCGGGAAAAGAAGAGGGATATTAGTGCGTCGTGTGGTGCGAGTTTACCGGACAGGGCGAGCAGAGACGGAAACTCTCGGCAGTTGTGGACTCCGGTCGAATCCGTGGCGCAGGACATCCACAGGTTTTCGTAGATGGTGGAGGTGGTTATAACGTTGCCGTCCACGGTCGACACCTTCCAGTATCGATTGGGCAGCGCTATCCCGACCATTATCCAGCCCAGGAACCCCAGCACGTACGCCAAAACCTCCACAGCAGCATTCATGACTGCGGGCAGGCAAGACTTTTTGCTCCGTCGCGTTTTTCGGTCGGTTTGCCTGTGCTGCCCGCAACCCGTGTCTTCTCACGGAGGAGGTCCGGACTGTTTGCTCAGATCAATAACAGTCTGATGCCGTGGGGACTGTATTATCGATGCTTTACGGTCCTCCTCCTCATCTGCCGACACGCACACACACACACCTCCCCCTTTCCTTCATGGAAAATTTACAGGTGTTTTGCGGAGAGAAGAACGCGATGGAGTCCAATGTTCAGAAGAGCAGCGCGTCCTTCAGCTTTGATCTCCGAGAGAGTTTTATCAGATACCCCGATACCGGCTCCGGGGATTTAACTTTTAACCCCATCCTCGCCTGCCTTGGACGCGGCGACGTTCCGGCGCGGATCGGGAGCGTTTCTGGCTAAAAGTGACGACGTCGCAAACGTAAAAACCTACAAGAAGCACCGACGCTGTCAGAAATGATTTAAGTTATTCATCTGAATCACAAAAATATAAAAGTTCGCCATTACATAGGGTAGTACGATGTGCCTCGAAAATGTATAACAATAATAATTTCACATTATTAGACAAATGATCATCCGGAAGGACAATCGCCTGTATCCATTTATTATAGGAACAAGTAATAGGTTTATTCCATGCTGAAAAAAAGAAGAAAGAGAACACAACGTTTCGGCCGTGGAGCCTTCTTCAGGTGTGACACCAGGGTTACACCCCTTGTTAGACCCCATTTTCGAGAAACACCCTGGGATTTTTAATGACCACAGAGAGTCAGGACCTCGGTTTTATGTCTTATCTGAAGGACGGCACCTGTTTACAGTATAGTGTCCCCGTCACTATACTGGGGCATTAGGACCTACATGGACCACAGGGTGAGCACCCCCTGCTGGCCCCACTAACACCTCTTCCAGCACCAACCTTAGTGTTTCCTAGGAGCCTCCCATCCAGGTACTGACCAGGCTCACACCTGCTGAGCTCCAGTGGGCTGCCAGCTGTGAATTGCAGGGAGATATGGCTGCTGGCTATTTAAGATAAGATCAGATAAGATAAGATCACTTTATTGACCATATACAATTTCTTGCATGAGGAATTTGTCTTTTCACATTTCCCAGCTTGCTCTCAATGAGACACACAGACAGGGAGAGAGAAGCCTGGGTTCAGAGCGCAGGGTCGGCCATTGTACAGCGCCCCTGGAGCAGCTGGGGTTAAAGGCCTTGCTCATGGGGCCCAGCAGAGTAGGATTCCTCTGCCGGCCGTGGGATTTGAACCAGCAACCTTCCAGCCACAGGCGCAGATCCTGAGCCACAGAGCCACTGCCCCAAAAGAAGATCGTGGTCCCACTGGGGCTCGAACCCAGGACCTTCTGTGTGTAAAGCAGACGTGATAACCGCTACACTATGGAACCACAACCAAAACAACCTCATAGTGACAGCTGGGTGTCAATACCCGAGCTGAGGCATAAAAGGCACACCCTTAAGCCATTCCGCCACAGACATAATCACGTCAACGTAGTAAAACAAATGATTTCAGAATCAGCAGTTACAACTGCAGTTTAAACGGTGGACAGGTTGTGCCAAACTCCTGCAGTCCACCACTAAGGCCTCATTAAGAACTCTGTGTACAATCTTGGATCAGGGTCCCCTGGGTAGAAACGGTATTGCTGCTGTAGAATCTGTATGGAAAAGAAGACTAAGACACACCCAGGAGGATGTCCTCGGACAGGCTGAAGAACTGAAGGTTTTAGTTTGGCAGAGAGGAGACCAGAGGACCAGTTCTAGGTTACTATGACATCATCCAGATTGGGCTACACACTGGGGGTGGAGGGGATCCCCATTACCCCATTAGGGGATGGAGCGGTGGCACTGTAGCTTAGGATCTGTACCTGTGGGTGGAAAGTTACCAGCTCAAATCCCCTGGCTGGCAGAGAAAGCCTATTCCGCTGGGCCCCTGAGCAAGGCCCTTAACCCCAGCTGCTCCAGGGACGCTGTACAATGGCTGACCCTGCACTCTGACCCCAAGTTTCTCTCTCTCTGCCTGTGTGTCTCATGGAGAGCAAGCTGGGGTATGCAAAAAGACGAATTCCTAATGCAAGAAATTGTATATAGCAAATAAAGTGATCTGATCTTATACCTGTAAAGCTATACCTGAAAAGCGCTATATAAGCTGTTCTTATTCTTATTATTAAGCTCCTAAGTGCCAAGCCAGTAATTAGACTCGACAGTCTGCTCTTTTCTGCACGTTCTCTTTTTCACGGTCTTTGTGATTACGGGTGACCCGGAGCTGAGCCCAGATTCACGCCGGCGGGCTGGGTGAGTGTCAACTTCAAACAGGGGAACCGCCCTAGCGTCTTCCCTCGCGTCTTCCCTCGGTGTCCACGGCCGCCGCGGAGCGCGCGAGAGGACGGGCGCTCGTGAACGCCGCCTGCGCGCGGGGGTTCTCGGACAGGTCGCGTTCCCAGAACCCAGAACCGCTGAGGAAGACGCGTGCGTAACCGGCCAAACACGGCGTCTGTGTCGGCGGAACATGGGAACTGTTAATATCCGACTACTGCAAATACCAAATTTGTGGGCATCGGATTGATCACTTCAACAAGGTCCTTGTGCTGGCAAGCTTTGAACTATTTTTTCCCCGCAATTATTCACCTTCACACGTTCTGGGGAAGGGATTGTTTCCATTCTTGGTACTTTTTGTGTGTATACAGTACACCTACACCGACGGCAGTTATTTACGCACAGAAAAGGGAGAGTAACGTCTCAGCGGAATTACATAGCTGTGCTGAAAAGAAGAAGAGAATGGATTAATTGATTTTCGAGGGAAAAAAACATCCCACCTCAAGATGAGTTTGCAAAAGTTACCTGCAACACTATAATAATTAAATATGTAGTTCAGGTGGGTAGCTACGTCAGCATGCCTAGGCTGCAAAGGAACAAATAATAGGTCTATTCCATGCTGAAAACAGAAGAGCGAAAACACAACGTTTCGGCTGTGGAGCCTTCAAACGTCGTGTTTTCTTTCTTCTCTTTTCAGCATGGAATAAACCTATTAATAATTTAAAATGTTAAACCGGATACGTGGCTGTCCTCCAGAAAACCACCAGAGGAGAGGCACATGTTCCTGGACAAGACTGTGCGATTGAACGGGACAATATCGATCCGCACTCTCTCCCTGCCGACCTCCGGCTGACGTCGCTACTGCGTTTCCCCATCTTTCTATTCCCCAACCCTTTTTTTTCCTTTCCTCATTGTTTCATCTGTTAAACATTACCACACAATACAAAGTCTCTCATCATTCAAACATTGTGCAGGTTCAAGGAGGAAATCGGCCAAATATTTTCGGCGCGGGCCCTCCGTGAAGAATTTCCTGCCGGGCGGAACAAAAATAAACATCGCGCTTTATTAAATCTCCGGGAGAGCTGCCGTCGACACAGTGACCCAGCAACCCGGAGCCGAGAATCTCATAGACTGTGCTCCCCCAGAACCTCCCCGAGCGCTTAATCATGGCACCGAGTCCATTAGAGACTCAATGAGCCCCGGTCCCCACCGCTTCAGAGTCCCAGCCTTGTTATCAGTCTGGATTCTAATAAAACAAAACCTCGTAGCGGAACTTCTCTTTTAAACCAACAGGTTTCTGAAAGGCTGTGGAGAATATATCTCACCGATCCCACACCAATCCTCCGTAAGGAAGAAGGTGAGGGAATAACAGCCCTGGATTCACTTATAGTCTCCTCTTTCACTGTTTTGAGGACTTTATAATACTAAACTTTCAGCATGCGTCAGCATGCGTAGAGTGCAAAGGAACAAGTAACGGGTTTATTATCCCATGCTGAAAAGAGAAGAGAGAAAAAAACGTTTCGGCTGTGAAGCCTTCTTCAGGTGTGAAACGTTGTGTTTCTCTCTCTTCTCTTTCCAGCATGGGATAATAAACCTATTACTTGTTCCTTTGCAGTCTAATCTTTCTTTACGATTTTCTACGGTTCATCAGGCAGTAGTCTCAAAGGCCAGTAGAGCTGTTTTCCTTAAAGCAGGTGTCTCAAAAATGCGAATTCACACATTCAAATTTCATTAAAAAAAACAACTGAGCTTTCAAATAAACAGTTAATTTTACTGCACATAGATGAGATTGTTTCGTAATGCCCTTTCATTCACTTCACTGCCTAAAAAAACCAAAGGAGCCCGAGTTGATGTTTTACAGTACAAAGTTAATTAGATAATCAGAGCAGCTGTAGAACTAAGCGCTTCAGTGGAGAAAAAAACAGAGGACACCAGGCGCTACAGGAATAGAGTTTGTGACCCCTGGTCACGGACAGGCATCAGCACCTCCTCGAAACAGGAAAAGGTCGTATATGGCAGAACCGAGACTACAGCACTGTTCCCTGGCACGCAGTTTTTTATAAACAGAAGCAGAGTCCAAGGACACCAACTGAGAGCCAGGCCAAATAAAGGAAGTACAGTAGAGTAAGTGGAGTTTGCAATCCTGGATTTAACTCGGGCAGAGACAGGTGCGTGGCCCTCCTGGTGTCACACGTTGGCCCCTGGCGTGGCCCCTGGTGTGGGACAGCCGCTCACTGTGTGTCGGGGAGGAAGGAAGCTGGGTGGCGTTCAGTCCGAGCACAGCGCGGGTCTCAGGACTCATCCTCGAGAGAACGGCAGGTCCGCGCTCCGCCACAGCCCACGAAGAACAGGGAGAGGGTTCAACTCCATCCTGAAGCCTTTAGGACCGTCAGTTTTCAAGGGCTGTTTTTTTTTCCCAGATCGTGGTTGGGCTGGATGGGCCAAATGGCTGCCTGGCTCTTTGGTGCATCTTATTGTTGTTTACAACAGCCACTGCAGGCCAGGCCAGGTGCCCAGATCGCTTTCCTGCTGCCACTCTTTGCAATCATTGTGTAAATTCTGAAATCCCGTCAGGCTCAAATTTGTAAGCTAGGAATCTCAGAAGTCATTAAAACGCCATCCGAAAGGCTGAGAAAGGGAAAGCAGGTCACATTAGCGGTCTAGGGCCTGCTCTTGATTTTTGGATTTTTTTAATCCGAGTGTTTTTCTGGGGTAGGTAGCAACAGAGTTCAAGTAGGGAGCTACGTCAGCATGCATAGGCTGCAAAGGAGCAAGTAAAGGGTTATCCCAGGCCGAAAAGAGAAAAAAAAAACAATGTTTCGGGTGTGCAGGCTTCTTCAGGTGTTTCCTTCTTCTTCCTTTTGCTTTTGCAAATCTGAAGGAAGCATGTCTCAGAGGGGGAACAGGAGCAGTGTCATTTCAAGAAGGACCAGCAGTTAATTCATCCATTACAGTCACTGGCCCTGATTGATCCAACCGTTTGTTCAAGTGGTGAGGGACTGATATTCAAGAAGGAGCCGCAAAACATGCAGGACTGCGACTCCCTCCGACAACCAAAGCCCTGCCACACAACGCATATTAATGAAGGGTGGGGAGCGGGTGTGAAATTTTTCCCACCGTTACGAACACAATGCTGTTTTCAGATCCCAAGTCCACACGGAACCTCTTTGAAATCCTGCCCACTTTACAGCTTAAATAAAAAGCAAAAATCACGTATTTATATTAGACTTAAACATTAAAGGTAACGGCCTTTGTGACTCACAAGGCCTTGGGAAACTAAACAAAAAAAAACAACAGGTCCGCGTTGTGATCTTTGGCTGAAGGCAAGGCGAGGCCTGGCTAATTAATGAACACCCCTGACAGTTCGTGCAGCCGTTCAGCGGCTGTGTGTGAGAACCGAGTGCCGGGGCAATAGAAATTAAAGATGTGCCATTAATCAAACGCCCATTAATGCTGCCTTTCAACGCGATCGCACAAGTGTTTGCCTCTTGCAGTTTCGATGTACCAGGTTACAGCGAAACCAGGGGCATGCAGTGCCAGGGGTACTGTCGGAGCCGGAGCTCATCAATCAATCGGCTGTGCGGCACTCTTTATAGGGGAAGGTCAATGGAAACACACACTGAGCACAAACTCCGTCTTTCCCGAACCTTCTCCGTAATGTCTTTAAAGGGATCTATGGCAACACATTACATACATCCACTGGCCAAAATATTAGAACCCCTATGAATAAAGGCCTAGTCTAACATGGGTAACAAGCTGTTATTGAGTGTGTGTGTGGCGGGTTCCTAACATTTTGTCCATATTACAGATACATGGCAAAATTATTTTATGGACTAAAACATTTGAAAACACTATGATTTCATTAGCTTTGCCGTGCAGGAGAAAACAGGCAGACTGTCTCACGGACATCCATGCAAACATACAGATTAGTTTTAGGCGTAACTTTCAATAAGGTGCAAAACAGGCTGTTGCTTTAAATTATAAGAGAAACGGAGAAGAAAAACAGTATATTATATGAAACCCACTATCTCCCTCTGGGAGTTAATGAGTAACATTTATGAGTGGCAGCAATGTCATATAACTTATAGCAACTAAAACCATCTGTTGTAATTCCCAACAGCCCAACGGGGCAGGCAGGGGGCCTGGAATTCCACAGAGGGCAGAAGTACTGTTGTGTGTGCAGAATCAGCACGTTACTGCAGGAAAGTCATGCACACACACATACACACACACTCAGCACAGTTTTCATTGGAGAATTTGAACAGTGCCAACAGGATCTCTGTATTGTTGGAGAAAGGCCCTTGGTGTGGGCCAGGGCCGTCACACCACTCTGACACGCCAGAATCGCTCAAAGAAAACCACCAACATCTCCGACAAGATATTAAAACTATTTTATTTACATCCAGACAAAAACCGTTGCATCTGCAAGCCAATTCATCGTGCTCGGCGCTGCGCTCGAGTCTTGCACAGCCGACGAACACGAAATCAAATCAGTTAGCCGGAACAAAAGGACGTCAGACGACCAAAGAGCAAATATTTGTTTTAAATTGCCACCAACCACTCTGACATTTCAATTGCATTGGCAAATCCATCGTTGTTTTTAGTTTTAAACAGCACAATGGGTAAAGATTAGAATTAAAAAAAATAAAGAGCCCAAATCCACCTTTTCAGCTGATGCCAGGTTTAAATCAACATTACTACCACACCCCCTCCAAATATAAACTTGCGATCCCGTCAAATGAAGGCGCTCTGCCTCACTGCTTTGTGGGGTCAAGATGCTCTGTGGCCTTGATCACTCACTTTATCTCCCTTCTTCAATGAGCACTTCTGCCAGCACAAAACACCCACATTCCGCACCTGCTAGGATCTACGATTGAGAACCACTCTCCCGTTGTGTCTGTTCCACATGCAGGCAGGTCCTGCCTGCTGTTTCACATCAAAAAGCACATGTTCGCTACAAACTCCCACACCGTTGATGAATTTCTTCTAAAGGTTTCACTGTATATGAAACCTGCTGCCTCTTCCAGTATTGCCAGTGGGTATTTAACTTGTTGCCAGAAAATCTAGGGGCTTAGAGACTTTGGTGTGCTTGACGATGATCTTCAGTTCTCATTACTTCTGTGTAATAATTGCCTCACTTCAGAGCATCCAATTTTGTCTTGGGCGAGATGTGTTGCAGACGGCAACCTGATCACAGCTTCAGCAGAAAAAACAACTACAAATGCTGAATTAAATTTAGTTTCCTGGTCGGTATGATAAAAGGTTCACACCTACACTTGCAGTTTGATTTGTTTTGTTTATTTGTTGTGCCACAAAATGTATGAAAGAACCCAAAACGTTTTCTTTTTTTGAGCAGAGGCATTTTTATCTGCTGGAGACCATCACTTAAGGAGTGTGAATGGGTTCTGTCATTCACTAGTCAGGCAGGCGGTGAACATCTGTGCTGTCTGGGGAGCACAGATGGCCCACTTAGGGAACTTTTACAGGGACTGCATGACATTCTCCCTCTTGTCTCTCAAATCACCTCCACTGCAGTATCCACATCCCTGGATGGCTAGGCACTATTCAACAGTACCTGGAATTTGAACAGAATGAAGGAGATGAATCCTATATATATATACCTTATAGTAATCCTCCAAGGACCAGAATTCCAGAGCATTTTTAAGAGTTGGGTATGATAATTATGCTGTGGTAAATAGCAGCAAAGAGATAAAAACCTTCCCTAAATCAATCTACACATGGGAGCACTGATGTTCCCTTGTTGCACCTGTTTACAGGAGAGCAGCAGTACCTCCTGGGAAACACACAGTCTGAGACACTTTGCTTTGTGCCAGAATGGCTCAGTCTTCATGCTCCTGCTCCTGAACTACATGATGCAGGTGGAAAATCAAGCTCCTTGAAACACAGGGATTTGGATACACAACCCATATTCCCACAGAGATATCACTCTATATTTTCTGTATCAATCTGAAAGCCCAAAATTTTCTGGTGCGCAAGCATACCCAAAAACAAACTGAAGGTAAGGACTGCACAAGCTTCAGTTCGCATAAAATCTATGGATTAAATATGCGTGCTGAACTGTGATTGGGTGAAATGGGTGAGCTAAAAAGTGAGAGCGAAGATGCAGAATCTGTAACTATTACTTATTTCTGTATGTTAGATGTAACTACTTTTAGAATTCAATGAGAATTCACACCAGTTAAGGCTGGATACTGTGCAACTTTTTAGACAAGTTGCAGGTAAGCATCTCTGGACTTCAGGGCCTGCATTGCAGAACCATTCTGTTCCACGCTGTGTAGTGCCTCCAGTCAGACTGACTGCAGTTACGTCAATCTAACATGCACAGAGAAAGACAGGACAGTGAGAGCGCAAAAGAGATAGTTCTTTCCTCACTAAGGGAAAAAGGAACTTGCAGATCAAGCAAAATGATGAAGAAGCCAGGCAACAACCCAGGGAAACAATTTCAAGAAGAATCTTATAGACCTTGCGTCTCAACCAACATCAAAATACAAAATTGTCCACCAACTGCAGAAAGCCGAAAACACAAAAGAGGAAAAATGAAAAATTACATTAACAAAAAAATCTTTCCTCCTGAAACATGAAGTGCAAACTTGCAAAAATCAAAATCAAAATTGGACAACAACCACACAACCTTTCAGCATCTCCAGTTAGCCTGCCTTCAGGATGTAATACATTCTGCTTTCCTGCTCAATCCCATCCTGGTGGAACTGGCCCACAGGACAGGAAGTGGGCGGAGGAATGGACACACAGAGCAGCAAAGGTAGATCAAGCTCCCCCACAACTTTCTGCTTTCCTCATGACTGGCCAGCCCTTGCTAGAAAAACAAATGTTAACTGAGAGAGGCTCAGTAGCACACTCTGCTGGCCAAGACATGGCACTGCAAAAGGCAAAAAAAAGCAGGAACTCTCCTCTTCAACATCTGACCATCTAGTTTCAACTTGCATTCACACTTTTTAGAAGCCAGTCTCATGAAGAATGAGAAAGTATTCTAATTGAGCATTCTGAGGCATTGGTCATTTTCTTAAAACAGATGCATTTCTGTATTCATACATGACTCAATCTACATAGTCTTCAGATGTTTTAAAATGAACTTCAAATCCCCTGCATTCACAAACCCCTTTAATACTTCAACAACAAACTCTTAAATTAAATCCACTTACACTTCCTTCATGTTGCAAAGATATCTTTCGTATCACAATGTGAATACTAGCAATACTAGGACAACGCTGACAAGAGTCTTTAGGTAATAAAGCTTCTTTACATAACTTCTGTATTCTGCTTTCATCAGCTAAATAAGAAGCAATCTATACTTGAACTGTATCTCCTCAGAGCACCTAATAAGCTATAATCAAACCCCTAAGCATAGCATAACCTTCCATTCCAACTACTCTGGAAGTAGAGCATAAGGGCACTAGAGTACACGATTACACAATAATAAAAAGGTCTGCGCCAGACCTTTTTCGCCACTCGCTTAATTGGCCACTACTTAGTTTCAACGTGTTTTTGTTTTAGTATTCTCAACAAATGTGTGAATGCTTTTAGAACTGTTAACACCACAGTCATCCGATTCCATTCCAAACGCTTCATCGGGCCAGCACAATTATGAATTTTAGCACTGTGCTTGAGACACGTTGTTTCAAAAACGGGACATGGAGGAGTTGGGGGGGAAAAAAAGCACATAGGTGTTCTTCATTAGGTCAATGACACCATGTAGGCTTGCTCAAGGACTTGCAGAGTTAGCAGGTACTGTGGGACGGGAGCCCAGGGAATTCCTCCTCTGTGCCAACATTTTTAAAGCACAGTTAGACATGCACTAAAGAACCGGCACAGGTTAGAATATGAACAGCGGGCAGGTTTAGCACAAAGAGAAATGCCTTTGGCCACGGATGGAGGACACCTGCAATTTTAAGATTGCTCAAGACACTGATGGCCATGAGATGAATGACACACAACCCGAAGACAGAACTTCTTAATTTAATTATTAATCATAATCATTATTGTTCAAAAGCAGCACTTACAAACAAGGGACTGTGCACGCACCGGCCGTCTAACCAAGTACCTGCACCTGTACTGGGTCTGGAAGGCAGTGCAATTCTGTCTTCCAGGAGGTCTGCACATGAAGTTCTACTGCGCAGCAAAGCAGCATTAATGCAGGTGTTAACAGCTCTAAGAACAAAGCACTGGCCCAAGCACATCTGAAATGACGAGAAAAAACAATCAGAATTATGAAAACTCTGAACAATGTTCTTGTCAGTTATAAAGTAAAAAAAAAAACACTCTTCCACTCCAACACCCCTTTTAATATTTTAACTACCATTTTACCTTAAAGGCAGGAAATCTGAATTTATGGCCTGTGCAAAAACAATAAATATAATCAAGGAACAGTACGTGCCCTTAGCAGAGATATCCCCCTGTCACATGTAGTGGAAATATTATGAGAGAAAGCTGGGAATGAACAGCCAGAGGGGAAAATGCTCCTCGGATTCAACTGTACATCCCAGTATGTTAGAGGCACAGATAACACCCTCCCTGGGGGATTTTATTTGTATTACAGAGCAAAAAGAGGGAGCAGAAGGGTTCAGCGAGTGGAGATGCAGATCAGGGCCACTCAGAATGTGCACCACTTGTTCCATCAAAGGTTTAAATCAGTTCCCGAATAGGTTTAACCAAGCTGGTTAATAAGTTGGCCTTATGGACCTCTGGACCTCTCACCTCACAATGTGAAGGCCTGTGCTGTCTTTCACTATTGGCTGTGCTCTCTCAGCACTATGTGCTCTCTATGTCGTGGAAAGCCTCCTTTAAAAATGACTATCACTGAGGAAAGCACAAGAGGGACACCCTTCTCTGTGGCACATGGTGCACGGTGCCAGAAGCCTGTGCAACTCTCATGGCATAAAAGCAAAATTAACACCAAGGTCTGGGCAGAAAGGACTGAAGAGAACACTACTAGAGGCCAGTAGTAGCCTCAAGAGAGAAGCTCGAACACAACTTTTCTGTAGAGTGTCCAGAACCACAATATGCAAGGGGTTTAATCTAAGGATGCAGGTGATTATGAAACATAACTGCCCCTGCAGACTGCTTTAACAAAATATCACAAGGTAACACTTCAGAACAGGAGACACCTGAAAGCCGTGTGGTAGCTGTGACAGACAACTGATACACACAGCAGTTACGATACACAAACACTTACGTGTTTGATGACCTCGTATAAAGCCAATCTAGATGTTTATCGCTTTTCCTCAGCAATAAGTCACACACATTTACCAGGCTTTTATTAGCACTCAACAAGCTGCGTTTCAAGTATGAAGTAGTAACACAAATCGAAAAGGCGCCTCCTATTCCACAGTGTTATTACCTGTTACAACAACAGGGGTAAAAACAAAATCCTCAGACCTTGCGACCAGTGAAAGAAAAACCTGGTGTGAAACAAGTGAACAAACAGGCACCCAGCGGGGTGCGGCGGAGACAAAGCAGGAAGGGAATGAAGACACGTCTGCGCCTCTAAACTGCAACGAGCTGCTCTGCTGCTTGGTGTTCGGCCCAGATCCAGAGTGCTCTACAGCAGAGAGGTGGGGGTGGGGAGGTGGTTTTTAAAGGGAAGGGTGTGGCCATCTTCCACGGGAGCACATCCTTCTCTTGCTTGTTAGGACTTAGTCTTGGCCACAGCCAGTCCGATGAGACCCGCCAACCCAGCCACGCCTAGGCCGATTCCCCCGACGATCGCCATGCCCACCAGCCCGTCTGCAGGACCACAGAGAAACCAAAAATGAAAATTGCCACAAATCATATGTGTAACCGGCCTGTTGACGTACAGCTAATCCCCACTAAGGGAGAAGAACAGCAGCGTTGCTGTACCAGTAGTTGTGCTACATGTAAGTCTTTCAGATGTATTTCCCTGTGCTGTGCCCAACCACACAGAGTACTACGTCCTTTATTTCCATGCCCTCAATAGATCACTGCCCTGTTAGGCAGAGAAAGACTGAAACAACAGCTCATTTTTAAAAAAGACAAGAAGAATCACAGCACAGCAAATCCTTCGGATGAAACCTGTAGTCTAAATTCTTACACCAATAATGGCAGATTTTTTTTTTGCTAGCATCCTTGTACCCATCTGATCCCCTGACCCCAACCCCCCCTCCCCGTGGGGCCCCCACCTTTCTTCATGGCTTTGTCAATGAGCTTCTCCAGCTCCAGGGCCTGCGTGTTCCCTGGCTCCTTCTTCAGAAGCGTGCGGATGTACTTCAGACCCTTCTCGTATTCCTGAGCCCGGGGACAAAAGCACAAGGAGACTGAGCCACTCCGCACAACACTAAGAACACGTTTAACTCAATCGGCTGATGAGCAGCAGACTGGTTCCATTCAAGAAACAGCTGGATGAGACCCTCTGCTGAATGAGCTACATGCAAACCAAACAAGCCAGTTGAATCGAATCGTTTTGAACTTCTCTTCCATCCGTGTGCAATGGCGCCCCCTCTCGCGGCTGGATGAGGGAGCCCGTTCAACAGGCAGGGCTTTCAGCCAGAGTGTCCCATCCCAGACACTGGGATCTCGCAGATGGGCTCAACAGTGCCCATCTGGGAGGATGACTGCACAGGCCTCAAGCCTCCCACGCACAACACTCAATATTTACAGTATACCTTAACATGTTTATTGGTTTCCCTTTCCCTCCATTCATAAAATTGTATAATATTTTCCATACAACACACACTAATATTATTTCACAGTGATAAGAGCTCACCTTCAGTCTGTAGTTTGCCACTGCCAGGTAAAACAGGTAGTCTCTCTGGTCATCCTTTGTGCACTTAAGAACCAACTCTGGAAGAGATTTAAAAGAAACAACGACTCAACTTGAGCTGGAGGACGTGCTGCCAGACAGACTCGACTCTCTCTTCTGCTCCCTCCTCACTCACCTTCCAGGTGCCCGATGCCCTTCCTGATGTCGTCCGTGTACTTGCTCCGGACGAGGCACCAGGCGTACTCGAACTTGGTGTCCTTTGACACGCTGCCCTTCACCAGCTCCGCATTGTACTTCTTCTCGAACTTCTAACGGGAGGGAAACCACAGGGGAAACGTCAGCCAAGCTGGCGGATTCCTAGTGTCCCAGTGCTGCCCTCCTGCCCCACATGACTACAACAACGGGGCAGACAAGCCTGTATACCTCAACGGACAACACTCACAGCCAGGATTTATGCTATCCGTGTAAACCTTATGGGGCGGCACAGTGGTACAGTGGCACACTGGTTACCACTACTACTTTGCAACACTGGGACTGTAGGCTCAATTCCTGGGGTGCTGTCTGCATGGGGTTTTTATGTTTCTCCCCATGTTTAAATGGCTTTACTCCCACAGTCCAAAGACATGCTGGTAGGTTAACTGGCTTCAGGGAAAATGGGCCCTGGTGTGGGTGCGTGTGTTTGTGTCTGTGTGTGCCCTGTGATGGACTGGCGTCCTGCCCAGGGTGTACTCCGCCTTGGGCCAAATGATTGCCAGGATAGGCTACAGCTCCCCCGTGACCCCGAACTGAATAAAGCGGATAGAAAATGGGTGAAAGAAGGCAAATTGTATTTGGTTAGGATGACATAATCTTTCGTGTCACTTGCGTTAACTAGCAATGATAAACATGAGGAATAACGAGAAGATTTTTATGCAACCTTATAAAACAATCTGACACCCACTTCAGGCTTCAGAAGCCTATCAGCAGCCATATCACCCTGCAACTCACAACTGGCAGCCCACTGCAGCTCAGCAGGTGTGAGGCTGGTCAGCACCTGGATGGGAGACCTCCTGGGAAAAACTGAGGTTGCTGCTGGAAGAGGCGTAAATGGGGCCAGCAGGGGGCGCTCACCCTGCAGTCCATGTGGGTCCTAATGCCCCAGTGTAGTGACGGGGACACTATACTGTAAACAGGCGCCGTCCTTCGGCTGAGATGTAAAACCGAGGTCCTGATTCTCTGTTGTCATTAAAAATCCCAGGGTGTTTCTCGAAAAGAGTAGCGGTGTACCAAATAGGGCTGGCCAAATTTCCCATCGGCCTTTATCAATCATGGCCTCCTAACAATCCCCCTCTATAAATTGGCTTAATTCTCTGCTCTCCTCCCCACTGATCGCTGATGTGTGGTGAGCGTTCTGGCGCACTATGGCTGCCGTCGCATCATCCAGGTGGATGCTGCACATTGGTGGTGGTGGAGGGGACCATTGGGACCAATGGATACCATTACCTGTAAAGCGCTTTGAGTGGAGTGTCCAGAAAAGCACTATATAAGTGTAAGCAATTATTATTATTATTATTATTATTATTATCTATAAAGACTATCAGCTGAGTACTAGTGTCAGTTGAAACTGTACAGTGATTTCAGTGGTACAAATGTTTACAGCAGGAAACTTGCAAAAACAGATTTACCTGAAGCTGACATAATGCTGTGTGACACCGGAAAAGCACAATTCTAAATTGCGTCACGTCGTTGCCACAAGTGAACCTGGATCACGCACGTACTTGTCCGTAAAGACTACGAAACAGTACCAGCTGATATTACAAATCAAGTAGTTTGGAAATGAGCGAGAGAAAATAAAGATGACTCGGATTCTCATAAAATGTGCACGCCATCTTTTCCGATTTATAATACTTGAAACAGTTACTTTGCCTCATTAAATTTGAGCAAAACTCTTGTAATGCCAAGTTAAATACAATGATCACACACTACAACTACGGATAAATACGTCTTATTTATGTTATATTACGCAATCAGCGATATAAGTCTAAGACCTAACACAAGCCTAAATCATAAAGCTCGGAGATAAGTAACAGTGAGTGGAATTATGTATTGTAAGCAAAACTATTTCAGATTTAGTGTCCAATGGACTTTGATGCGAATTCCGGAGTCATAATTCTGGGGAGCTCTCGCGTCAGAACAGATTTATTTTAGATGACACGTAAGAAGAGTTTAGCCTTGTACTTGGGAACACAAAGGTTAAAAACAACACATCAATGAAAATATAAATAAAATAAGCCATAACTTTGTTTCCATTAGTTTTACAAAACACCTTAACCTTTGCATTTTAAAGTTGTATCCAATCACAACTGAGTCCCAGACACGCACAGAATCGCTTACATCTGATTTAAACATGTACATTAGTATATCTTGTCGTATCTCCATAACGCTGTACTGCTGTAAATATACCGTGTAGCTCTGTGACGTTGTTTCAACCAATTGACAGAAAACTCCTATCGTCCATCTTTGTTTGTTGACGTTGTGAAAAGTACAGACGGGCGTGTCTCTGGGCTCCCCAAGTCACCCGCAGCTCGTCAGCAGTAATCCCCGACACAGCCTCACCGGGCTCAAACACTCCGCCACACTCGTTGACCATTTCAGGAAACAACTCGTAAGAAAGAGAAAAACTCACCAGTAAATCTTCAGGAGCCACGACTTCACTCACTACAGCCTCCATGTTTCCGGAAACAGTAATACGCAACTGCCGGAAGTCCAGTGAGACCACGTGCTACCGTAATGCTAGTAAATGTAGGAGACCTCAATTTGCTTGAGGATACGCTTTGGATAGAACCGTCGGACTTTAGCGTGTCATATAGAATTAAAACAAAGACTTAAACATTGAAAGAAGTTCAATCATTTTATTTATTTTTTTATTTCTTTAATTATTTTTTTTAATTCTTAATTTTTGTTATTTCTTTTCTTAAGTCCATTTTTAGTGACTCTCAGTTCACAGGGTTCACAGGGTTCACTGATTACCTAGTGATGGGGTAAGGAGTTCAGAGTCCAGAGTTGAAGGATAAGATAAGATCACTTTATTTGCCCTATACAATTTTTTGCATTAGGAATTTGTCTTTTTACATACCCCAGCTTGCTCTCCATGAGACACACAGACAGGGAGAGAAGCTTGGGGTCAGAGTGCAGGGTCAGCCATTTATACAGCACCCTTGGAGCAGTTGGGGTTAAGGGCATTGCTTAGGGGCCCAACGGAGTAGGATTCCTCTGCCGGCCGTTGGATTTGAGTCAGCCACAGGTGCAGATCCTGAGCCACAGAGCCACCGCTCCGCCTGAGCAGGGGGAGGGGCTGTGTTATTTCCTGCCCAGGTGCGAGGGAGAGAAGGCCAGGGGCAGCAGGTCCAGCAGGCTGGTCTTCCTGAAGGAGCTGTCCGGCTTGACAAGGTACACATCCCACTGCTGGCCAAACTGCCAACACAGGGAACACAGCGGGCTTTATCCCTGCGTCTGGAGAGCCGAACCGATCCACATCCCCGGCGCTCCACTCTAACCCACTGCCTCAGGGCCAGCTCTGAAACAAGGACCTGAGCAGTTTGTTTAGGCCTGAGAACGATTGACCACTACACCAAGGGCGGTGGGTGTCGGCCTGATTGTTGAAAATGTTTCCAGAAACAATTGGATAAGATTTGTTGGTCAACAAACTATGCTAGCTAGCAAAGAAGTGAACTTCTTTTCATTCTTTTGTAAAGTGCATTGTGTCAGACGTGCCCATGAGACTGTCTCCATTTCGAGCAGCATCTCTGCTGAGATGTGCTCCAAGTACTCCATAATGGTCACTTTCCCTATGGATGGTATAGCCCAGGTACTCATGAAAGCTCTGAAGAGCCCCATGAGCTGGGAATAGCCCCTCCATCACCTACCCTACAGCCCTCACTCACACACGTACCTCCAGCAGCACCTGTCTGCAGGCCCCGCAGGGTCCCACGAAGCTGTCCTCAACGTCACTGCAGAGCACAGACACCAGAGCACTATGAGGAGGAAGCAATTGCTCAGCAGGGTGCAGACCCGCCCAGCCACTCATGTTCAAGAGCGCCTTTTATTGGTTTGTTCAGATAGGACACTGGAGCATATCAGCAGAAACATGGATACTTTATAATAATTCCTTACACTTATGTATCGCTTTTTCTGGACACTCCACTCAAAGTGATTTACAGGTAATGGGGACTCCCCTCTAGCACCTCCAGTGTGCAGCCCCACCTGGATGATGCACCAGTACTCTCCCCACACACCAGCTCTCGGTGGGGAAGAGAACAGAGTGATGAAGCCAGTTCAGAGATGGGGATTATTATGAGGCCATGACTGGTAAAGGCCAATGGGAAATTTTGCCTGGACGCCAGGTACTGTAACACCTCAACTCTTTTAGAGAAACACCCTGGGATTTTTAATGACCACAGAGAGGTTTACTGAGAAAAAGTGTCTAGCAAAAGGAAGTGGCCAGGTCGCTAGGTATGAACAGATTTCCAAGAAACCAGGACAGTTCTCCCTCACCCGGTTGGTATGGCTTTTACCACAGACGGCGCTGATTACCAAGTGACAGCGATGGCGGTGAATTCGGTGTAGCCCTCTGCCACGGCTCTCTGCACGGCTGTCCTCTCTGCGCACACCGACAGTCCGTAGGAGGCGTTCTCCACATTGCACCCTGTAGCAGACACCCCCCCAACACACACACACACACACACACACACACACACACAAAAAGACGTCAGGTTTGTGAAGGAGATCCATAGAGGAGAGGAGTGAAGGAAACTACTCTCCTCTATGGGCCTAGGTCCTCCTGCTGGCCACCACAACATCACAGATTTGTAGCCTTGCACTCTTTTAGGAAGAAGAAAAGCTGCTTTTATTGCACATTTACTCAACCTGGTGGGGATCAGAATGTCAGAGAATGGTATTTCATTGGAATGACCCATCTTGTCCAAAGTAGTGGGAACACTAAGGGCTGTGAAGTAGCAGCAAACCCGGCATGTTCCTCGGCTGTGGGAGGAAAGGCAATCTTTCCAATCTAAGCGATCTGGAGGAGTGTCTCGGCGGCTCGGATGGCTGATCGAGTCGATTCAGGAAGCCTCAAGGGTTTATACGCAGTGGTTTGCGTATTTATAAATAACAAACACCAACAGGAAGTGTGATTCAAACCACAAGAAGCTACTGAGCTGTTACCCACAAGCAAACTGCCAACTGCTCATATTGCCACAGTCAAACTGCTACTAACTAGTGAAACCAACACTACAGATGTCCCCTGGAAGTGGATAACCTTCTATGAGAGGAGATCTCTAGGTTTACTGTTTCGGTAGGATGTATGGATGTTTGGACTGATAGATCAGGCAAGACTGATAGATGTGTCAAACCTGCACTGTCACTTCTTTATAAGCACCATCTCCAGTATTTCCCAGCGAAATGCGGTAGCTACTACACTATCACCTCTGACAGTAACAACAGAAGCAAAGTCATCGCGCGCTTTGTCTTAAAAGGTACTTATCGCCAGCAGCGCACACTGACGTGCAATCTGAGCCCGCCCCCTGCTCTCACCTGTGATCACAGCGCCCCCTGTGGTCAGCAGCGCGGCGCCCACGGGGAAGTGGCTGTAGGGACAGTAGGCGAAGCCGCGAGCCGCGAGGCACTTGGACACCAGCTCCTTGACCGCGGCGGAGTCTGTGCGGAGAGAGATTGGCGCGTGTCACAGCATCTGCGCCGGACAACCTGTCCGCCGGTTAAAGGCACAGAGCGTCTGCCTCTTCCTCTCTTCTCAGAGCTCATCCACACCGCGCGGCTGTGCTTGTTCAGAAGTGTACCGCCCCAATTCGGCCACTTTTACTGGGCCCGTATCATAAGAAAATATGAGCAACGCTGACGTATAAATAAAGATCACGGATGGGAGATTTATATGAGATTCAGATCAGGATATATAGTCCAGAATTCCTTTTACGTGATTCCCTATTTCAAACATCCTGCTTGTTATAATAATATTTAATATGTTAAGATCATTTGCCTGGCTTCAATTCCTGGGCTGCTATCTGCATGGAGTTTGCATGTTCTCCCAGTGGGTTCCCTGCGGGTTTTCCAGTTTCCACCCCACAGTCCGAAAGACATACTGGTAGGTCAATTGGTTTCTGGGAAGACCGGCCTTGGTGTGTGTGTGTCCTGCGATGGACTGGCGTCCCTCCCAGGGTGCACCCTGCCCTGTGCCCTCTGCTTGTTTTGATAGGTTCCGGCTCCCCTGGGGATCCCGAGCCGGAAAAAGCAGTTAAAAATTGGATGGGTGGAAGATTTCAATTCAATTCAAAATACTTTATTCGTCCCCATGGGAGCAATTTACCTGTCATGTTACTCAATGTCTTCCTCTGGTGCTGGAAAAAAACTCACTTTCCCTGGAAAATAAACAACTGTACATAGTATATTAGAACATCAGGAATGTTACAAATGGGACAGGGCTATGCAGATCATCATGCTCATATGGTTGCTACAATATTTGTTTCAACAACCTGATTCTGTAGCTTGTTCCAGAGTCCTGCAATCCTATGTGTAAAGAAATTCCCCCTGTTCTCAGTATTAGAGGCACTTAACTGTATTTGCCACTTGTGTTGTTGGTGTTTCATGGCTGATTCGGAGACTTTGAATGTTTCAATAAAACTTTAACAATAAATTCCTAGAATTCTTTTCTCAGGTTACATATTACATTGGTTCTCCCTTATTTCTGTGTAAACATCTTTTAAAAGCTAACCAGTTAGCACTGCTGAGACACAGGTGGAAATCTCTCTAGCACTTGCACACACAAAAAAGGCTCTGTGTATTCTGAAAAAGGCCCAGTTACCCACAAATGAGCTCAGGGCAGATGTTAATTACCAATCCCAATAGAACTTCAGAGCCTTAAACAATCAATGAGATTTGACCAAATCGGTCTCATTCAGAGCTCAACCAGAAAAAATGGACACTATTAACATAGCAACACATTATAAGTGCATATCAACTTTTCCTACCTTTCTCCTGAATCCTCGAATTAAGTGATCTTTTGTGTTTCCTGCTGTGTGTGGTCCTTGTGTGTCAGGCTGCACCACAGTTTAAAGTCCATTGACCCCTGTCGTTAAAGTTGATTTCAGACAAGAAGCACAGGCAGAGTTGGGGATGGCATAACAGGGAAGTAAATCATAACAGAAGGCAGGACTAAACTTCTGAAGTTCACAACAGAAGGGAGAAGCTCCACGTGCCTCTGAATGATTTATTATATCTGGAAAGCATTGAGGTACAGTAGACGAGATCCAAAGTCATATTTATCTTTATGATACTTCAAATCCAGGAGTCCAATTTAAAAGTATAGGAAGAAAATGTACAGATGTATTCATTGAGATTAAAACATATTTTGTATTTTAATTGGGGGTTAATTCACAGAAATGCATTTGGAATATCTTTAAAGAATCCAAATTACAGATATCTTTAAAATAATGAAATGTCCCTAAAGAATGAGAAGGACGATATTTCATGGCACCTCAAAGTGAATTTGATTACTTTTAAAATGAGGAAGAAGTCACACTTATTGTCATAGAAGATGTGCCCCTAGCTGGTAGTACTATTTTTATATCTTTTTGGTTGATATTATATGGATACACTGAGTACAGGAAATGAGAGCTGTTTTAGTCACTCTGCTTGTAAATGTTAACAATAACAAAGATGATTGCAATTACACCAAAAAAATAAGACGTTCATATATTTGTTTGTCTTACACAGCATGATTGTTCTCTCAAACATTAACGTTGAGATCTCAAGATTCAGAAATCCTAAAGGATGACAATAATTACCAAATTAATTAGTACAATTCCAAAAAAGCTGGACTGTCAAAACAGGCAAAAGATATTTTACTAACATCGAACGAGATTGAAAATGTGCATTAATCTCCGATACTGTGATTTTGTGTCACAACCTTCACACTACTCTATGGCAGCAAGAGAACTCATGACAGCATGAAGCAGAAACAGTTAACACAACAGGTAAGATGTATCTGCGACACGTCTTTGAAGGAACTGGACATTGAATAAACCATTGCCTAGATCCACAACCATCTAGCAGCAAGCCAGAGAACAGCCTGACAACACAGCAGTAATGTACAGTGACCACTCCGTGTCCTTCTAAATGTGCTACCATACATAGACCGATTAACTGATCATTGTTGCCATTGTTGTGGGAAATTCTTCATCAGAGGTGCAGGACACACTCTTGCGCAGATTCAGCTTTATTGAGCTCAAGAATGACAGCAACGAGCGCTGGGTCTACCCCACAGAACAGACACTGCAAGGGTTTCCCGGCTCTTATATACAGTCAGAAAGAAGTTTGTCTCACAATCGGAGTGCTTGTCCTGTTCTTTGATCTGTAATTTCTTCCTGTCCGGCTCGGTCTTGCTCTAGGTTCTGTCCTTTGATATGCAGCAGACATTCATCTGCTTTATCCTGTTCGTGGTGTGTTTGTGGGTGTTGTTCCTGTCTTTTATTATGTAGTGTTAAGTCAATGGGGCTGCTAAAGCAAGTCAGCTTTATGGCATCTTAGCCTAACTTTGGTTGAAGGCTAAATTAACAGACCCCAGCAACACCTCCCACAATGTGCTCCACTGGTGATATTGCGGTGCTGGATAAGTGAGATATATACATGTCCCACTTCACCATATGTACGGTATATGTTGCACTTCAGGAAGGAAACAACGTGTCCATTCAGGCACAGGACATTTATTTAGGCTTCTGTAAATTTACAAAGATTAGAAATGAGAAAATGAGTGCTGATATTCAGGCATCTGGGGGAAAAGCAGCCTCATTCACACTACTTAATGGCCATTCAGTAAATCAGCCGTTGATTCACACTCGCATAAAAATAATCACGTGGATCTAACCTAAACACCTCACTTAAATAAAAAAAAATCGATTTTCACATTGTGCATTGCATTGACATGCAATATAAATGCGAGCTGATAATTACAATGACAATCAATGCTGCACTGATGAAACAGGTGATCACACAGGAAGAAATCAATACCAGATCCTCCAGCAGACTGATTCTTTTGTCATTCTGAAATCACGTGATTTTGTCTGAAGGCTGCTCTCGTGGAGCTGTAGTTTAAAAGCAAATTTAAGGGGTTTATTCTGGATAGTGGGGGGGGGGGTTTAATAGGGAGTGTGTGGCACGAGGGAGATGCCGGTCAGCTGCTGGGTGCCCCCTGCGCCAGCGTGTCCAGAGCCACCCCTTCGAAACGCAGTATGTGCCAGCCCTCGCTGGCAGTCAGGTCCTGGGCACCTTGCCTGGCGTAGAAATCCAGCGACGGCTTGTTCCAGTCCAGCACCGTGAACTGCAGGCGGGCACACTGGTTCTGCCGGGCGATCTGCGCCGGGGGGGGGGTACAAAACCAACAACATGGGGGTCACTCTCCTGCCGCGGGGCCCCCCGGACACATCGTGCCAGAACAGCCAAGCCATCCTTTGCGAGGGCAGAGACAGACCAGCCACGGACAGAGCAGCAGACGCCGACACAGGCAGAGAGCACGGCAACAGCTCGGACTCCCCAGAGCCAGACTTCGCAACGATTCTGAGGCTGGACAGGTCAGCACAGAGCCCCGAATCAAAGACACGACCACACTCGGAAGTACAGCAGCCTTCTTTATTATACAGAGGGCCTGTCATGGCCGACATTGCTGAGAGACGGTAGAAGCACACCCAAGCTTCAGCAGCTTGAGCAGACAGCCAGAGCACCCTCGGGTGATTCCCCGTCTCCTGTCACTTCCAGAAATGAAATCCACCGCTGGTCTTCTAACGCCCCGAATTCGGCAAAATATTACACAAATATTACAAAAATACACCCCACTCCTCACATGTATTTCCAGAGTGTCAAACTGTGAGATACCAGCTTTGTAACCGACTGCCACGCACACACAGTAAAATTCCAAGGACTGCTTCACACACGGTATAGGAAACTGGCACAGGGAGCCCATTAAAACCACTAACTACAAATACAGAGGATAAAGAGTCCCACATTATAGCCACTTGTATTTAGATGGATACTGTATACTTGTAAACAGTAGAAGGTTCAAGAATACTGTACTTCTCAAGCACGGCTACCTCTATGTAAACTACATTAGACAGACTAACACTTTTGAAACAGTCTACACATACTACAGATCCCTAATAAGCTTCTATGACCATTCTGCCCTACTGTCACCAGTATATACTGGACCTCCTGCTACATATGGAGTTACATAACGGGTCTGTTGGAGTCTGTGCTGCAAAGGAACAAACAGAGATTAAATCCACACTGAAAACTGGAAAGAAAGAACATTTTGGCTGCGGGGAGACGCCTGAGAAAGGCTCAACAGCTGAAATACGTTTTTTTCCTTCTACTTTTTCGGCACTGAATTCTACGTCTCCGACAGCAGCCATGTTGGTAAGGGCACGTCACGCCTGGGGCTGCCCCTGTGCCAGGAGCTCGAAAGCAGACCCCTCGCAGCGCATGAAGTGGTACCCCAGGCTGTCAGTGATGTCCCAGCAACCCTGGCTCACATAGAAGTCCCGGGAACCCGTGTTCCAGTCCAGGAGGGCGAAATTGAGCTGAGAGCAGCCAGCCACCTTTCCCTCCTGCAGCCACAACAACACAAAACAGAGCTCGGTGAAGGCCGCCTGCGCTGGCGTTAGGAGACACACCTTCACACGCGGGGTTATAATAATGATCCCTTATATCTGGACACTCTAGTCAAAGCGCTTTACAGGTAATGGGGATCCCCTCCACCACCACCACCAGTGTGCAGCCCCACCTGGATGATGCGACGGCAGCCAGAGTGCGCCAGTACTCTCCCCACACACCAGCTCTCAGTGGGGAGGAGAACAGAGTGATGAAGCCAGATCAGAGAGGGGGATTATTAGGAGGCCATGACTGGTAGAGGCCATGGGGAAATTTGACCAGGATGCCAGGGTAACACCCCTACTTTTTTCAAGAAACGCCCTGGGATTTCTAATGACCACAGAGAGTCAGCGCCCCCTACTGGTCCCACTAACACCTCTTTCAGCAGCAACCTCAGCCTTTTCCAGCAGGGATCCTCCTGCTTCATTTTGCACAGTTGGATTCATTCCACGTGCGCAGCGGGATCTATACTTGGTCGCACTCCTCGTCACAGTCCTCCACCAGCAAAAGCGAATTCATGTTCCGTGACATCGTACCTCTCCAAGGAACCTTCGGTTTTACAAAAAGCCAAGACTCCCAAAAGACGACCACGACACAACGCAACACGCATGCTAAACAACAGTAAGCACAAAAAGGAGCATGCACAAACACAGCAGGCTCTGGCTGTTTGACCTTGAAGGGACGCAGATGCTCACGCAGAAGGCCGATAGTCACAACACAATGGCGTAGGTATCGCTTCCCTAACGTTCAACTCTTCTGTAAAAAAATTTCACTTATTCTTAAAGGGCTGGTTAGGCACTTTTCAGGACAAAATAATACAAAAAAACCATTGCAACAGGGCAGAAAAATGGTTTTCAATCTGGGTTATAACTACCGCCAATGACCCTGCCCTTGATTTCCTGTGGAAGTCTACTGCCCGGTCTAGGATCATGGTCACTGAAGGACCGCCATTCGATTTCTGCAGCACAAGAGAGATCAAATTGACCAAAGAGAGGAGTAAAGGGCAAAATCAGACCACAAATCCTCATCTGACGCTCGTCAGGACTCTGAGGACGAAAGCCAGCATTTTAAATGTGACCCAGAAGCTGCGAATGTGTGAGCCTCCTTAAACCACAAGAACAAAAACAAGATGGAGTCATACCAGACCTCATTCCAGAAAGGGAGACGGGGGCACACCAAAAGAGGAGCAAGAGACACAAGATGTGACACACTGGCAGCGCAGCGCTCGAGAGACAGCACATGCAGCGAGGCTTGCAGGCGACGAGCAGAGCTGTGGGCACTCACCTGAGCCACTCTTCTCATCAGTGCACACCCAAGCCCTTTCCCTGCAACCGCAAGACAGAGACGTCAGCTTTCATCAGCACCAACACCTCCAAGAGGGAAAATGACCCACACAAAGCAATGCATTACAGTTGTAAGATCTTAACTTAAGGCAATACTCTTCCCCTCGATAACAAGTTCAGGGAAATTGCTTTCAAGAGACAGTGTCAGTCTACTCTGGAACCATACACTGTCTATACAGATCCTCAGAAAGGAAGAAAGAACAATCTGCAATGCTGGTCTGCAGACCCCCAGTTCAGGAAGTGTTATAGGTTATACTAAATCACCATGTTTTAAAGATCAGGAGCCCTCATAACCTACTGATTATGAACTTACTGAATTAAGTAATTTGCTCAATTGACACATTTTGGTGGAGAGCTGAAGGGTATTTAAAGTCAAGTTATTCCAAACCCTTAGAAGCTGCACACTTTCAGGTGACCTACAAAACCTGCTGGGGCTCCCAAAGACCAAGGATGGAGAACCCTTCAATAGACCATATAAATAGAAATGGACCGTGTGAACCCTGTGTCACATGGGCAGAATGATTTTTTGCTCTACACCGGACTTTCCAATGAACACAGCTTTCCACAGTATCCGAGAGGCCAGGTGTGGTCAGGCTTGGGTATGGTCAGCCCAAGCTGAATTCTGAGCCCCTCTGTGGTTCTGAAGCACAACAGAAGCACAACAGGCTTCTCCTTCCTGAGCACCCCCCAACACCAGACCCCCGCACTCACCTCTGTACTCAGGCATGACATACAAGTCCTCCATGTACACCGCCCGGCCCTTCCAGGTGCTGTAGGTGTAGAAGTACAGCGCGTAGCCCACCTTGCTGTGCCCTGACACAGACACACAGCCAGGGGAACACCGATCAGAGTCCTGCAGCCTTTCGCTATGAGCTATGAACCAGCTTAATCACCTGGCCATCAAAGCAAACACGCCAAAGACAAGACAGGGCATTGTGAGTTTAAATAAGGTGGTTGGTGAGGTCATTCAAGCCATCTAGTTCCAGAATCTCTGATCCAGCCATCCAGCCCGTTTGGTTGGTAAAAGCTAATTGATCCAAGGATCCCATCCAGTCATTTCCTGGAAGCAGCCTGGCTATCAGCTTAGAACACATGGGTGAGTGAGGTGCCATTGTAATCGCGGAGCTCCACAGACCGGAGTGAACTGGACCAGTCCAGAGGAGGAAAGGGCCCACCTACCTTCCTTGCTCTTGTGCTCCTCTGGCACCTCTGCTATCAGGCACTTGAAGAAGGGGTGGTTGGAGAAGCCGTCTGTCTCCAGCACTGCAGGGGGAGAGAAGGACATCGGTCAGCAGTACCAGGGTGCCATGTGTCCAGCCAATTCAATGGTTATTCAATTCACATCATCAGGAGCTCAAGGAGGTGTGAAGAGGCTGTGGTCATTCCAAGACATAACCTGGCTTGATCATGGCCACGTCCTGGGCTCATTGTGATCTCACTACCTTTAACAGTGTCCTGCTGGCCAGTCAGGCCTGCCAGACCTGAAATCAGTTAAGACTGGTCTAATTTATCATCTAATAAATCTAATTAAATAATCAAGGGGCGCAGTTGTGCCAAATCCCATTGGAGCCCGTGGCCAGAGGGATGTGATTTAAGAAGGTCACATAACAGCAGCATGATCCAGGTTAACCTAGGCTCTTCCATTCCATGTTGTTATTCCACTGAGGTGATAAGTAAGCAATTAAGGATCATCACAGTGATTCATGTACCAGAAAGGCTCAACTCCTGCAATGGAGTGGTTCTCAACTCCTGGACTACAGATTAAGAAGAAAGGAAGGATTGCAGTCAGTTTCTGTTGGCACTGCAGGACCTCTGGACAAAATGTAACAACGTCATGAAGCACAATTCAACTGCCTTTCATTCCGTCATGGTCTGCAGATTTTCCCGACATCATTAAGCGCAACACATCCAGCCCTCGATAACGCTGGTAAGGGGATTCTCCACCCCTCCAGCCCTTGAGCCACACAGACAGACGATTCCGTCCGGGATTCTTACCTTCCTGCGTTATCTTCACCTGGTCAGACATTTTCTCATAGCTAGCCAGCTCCTGCAAAGCCCAAGACACAAGTATTCAGCATCCCGGGAGGTAACTGAAGTTGCTCCAGCAGTGCGCTTGAACCTAGCAGAATAACCAACAGCAAAAAGGAGAACCCAGGGCGGCCAGAAGGGTTGACTTAAGGGGATCGATTCAGGACTCCTTTGCCCCGAGAGCGAGGAGTGTGTGGCTGTTCCACACTTCAAGCACAGCAAACTCCCAGGAGCAATGAGCAAGACCAGTCCCAGTGGCTTCCGCTCATGCGAGGCCAACAGGTTCTTAAAACAAATGGGATGCCTCGCCCATCGATTCTTAATAAGCGGCACCTAAAGGTTAATTCCACGTTGACAAGTGGAAAAAAAAGAAATAACACAGCCTTTTGGCTGGTGAACCTTCTTTTTTTCTTTAATTCTGCCTTTCAGCGCGGAATTCGTACTGTACTGCATTCCGATCCAGTTCGGGATCCGGGTACTGCGGCAAAGCGGGAGAAACCGTCATTTAACACACATGTCCCATTTCTCCCGTCTCTCCCAGCGCGAAGGAAGTGGGACCCCAGGCACAAGCTATCCGGTTGCAATTCCTGTTCAGTCACAGCAGAATTACTGTACTTCGCTTTGCATACGTCATCCAGCTTGAAGGCAGGAATTCAGCTGTTGCCTTCAAAAAATATATTAGACCTGAATCCCTTCACGGTGAACGGTAAACCCATCTCGCTTGAGGACTGAAAAATATCTGAGAGCAAACAGATCATTGCCAATATAATGGCTGTTTTTAAATATTCCGCTTCTTCCAAAGATGCCATATACAGTATACTATGGAAGCCCGTTTCCGCCAGGGAGTAAAAAAATAACGCGCTATGGTATCTCAGAATTCCGATTTAGCATCTCAGAATTCCGACTTCGAAATAGCCCATATTTCATTGCCTGTCCTTTTGTTATTGCAACGGATTCGGGTTCTAGGGGTTGTGCCCTCGCCGCTCCCACCCTACTTCGTGCCTCGCTGCATGGGCTCGAACCCGGGTCTTGCCAGCTGAGCTAAAGGAGACCTTCTTTTTTAAGTAGAAAATGACATACAATGGAAATATGTAAAAGCATAAGTTTCAGCTTTTATGATTGTGAATTCCTCTGGATGTGAAGCGTCTATTTCTGTATCGTATTTCATATTCTGTCTCTGTTTTTGTATTTCTGGTGTTTAAATAAAAACTTTTTTTAAAAGTCCACCGTCCACTATTCCATCCGGTTACTATGGAAGCCTCACTGGCGGAAATGGGATTCTATAAAAAAGTGTAATTAATTTGATTTTTATCAGGTCACTGTTCAAGACAAGGCTTCAGGCCTATAGATCCTATGATCCTGTACGATTCATGGATATAGTGTAATGGAACGGCCGACATACAGGTTGTACGATCTGGTTGCAGTGTGGTGACGGCACTGCCCTCCCCTGCGCATAACAAGGATGCTGGTAAAGGTCTCCTTTAGCTCAGCTGGCAAGACCTGGGTTCGAGCCAATGCAGTGAGGCATGAAGTAGGGTAGGAGCAGTGAGGGCACAAGCCCTAGAACCCGAATCTGTTACAATAACAAAAGGACAGACAGTGAAATATGTGCTTCCATAGTACCTGGATGGAATAGTGGACAGTGGGCTTTTTAAAAAAAGTTTTTATTTAAACACCAGAAATACAAAAACGAATGTGAGAATGACAGAATGTGAAAAAAGATAAAGAAATAGACACTTCACATCCAGAGGAATTCACAATTATAAAAGCTGAAACTTATACTTTTTACATATTTCCATTGTATGTCCTTTTTTACTTAAAAAAGGTCTGATTTAGCTCAGCTGCCAAGACCTGGGTTCGAGCCCATGCAGCGAGGCACGAAGTAGGCTGGGAGCGGCGAGGGCACAAGCCCTAGAACCCGAATCCGTTGCAATAACAAAAGGACAGACAGTAAAATATGGGCTATTTCGAAGTCGCAAATGTGAGATATAAAGTCGCAAATGTGAGATACCATAGCGCGGTTTTTTTTTTTACTCGCTGGCGGAAACGGGCTTTCATAGTCTACTGTAAATATAAAGAGCAAGAATTGATTTAGTTTAAAAAATCGGGTCGGAGCGACGTGTTCTCTCGGCGCGAACTCACCATGATCATCCGAGCTATGTCTTTGCAGTCCTCCGAGGTGGCTTCGCGGATTGAATACTGCATTGCTCGTCCGTAATTGAAACAACTGTGGCTGGTAGTTCACCTGCACGGTGTGTCGGAGCGCCGGCGAGCTGCTGTCTGGCTGGAATGAGCGAACTGTCTGCAAATTGAGCAGCGCACCGCGTCACCCTTGCGTCTTAAAGTGGCAGCGCCACAGACTCACAGCCACCCGTGACTCACATGCCCCGTGGGCATATTATATCCCCACACGCTCTTGGCAGAGATCACCAGCTGACAAAAAGATTTATAAAAACCAGCATGACAGTGACGTTGATTAGATAGTTATATGAATATCACCTAAAACCAGCGTCGAAAGATTTAAAGGAGTCACTGCATTGCTAACTCATGCGGCTCTTAACTGGCTGCTTGTACGAAATAAGACACCACAGAGAGCAGGGCCACCAGCTTTGACTGCACGTCTTGTATGGATTGGTCATATAATGGACGAGTGTCTGACAGTTCTGTTATGGACCGCTATTTTTTTGTTTGATTTTGGTGTTTCTCTTTACTCCATAACACACACAAGGCTGCAGGACCCGACGGCATACCCAGTCGCGTCCTCAGAGCCTGCGCCAATCAACTGGCGGGTGTATTCGCAGACATTTTCAACATGTCTCTGGCCCAAGCCGTTGACCCCATCTGCTTCAAGACTACCACCATCATCCCAATACCAAAGAAAACCACAGTGACATGTCTTAATGACTACCGACCAGTGGCACTAACACCTGTCATCATGAAGTGCTTCGAGAGGTTGGTCATGAAGCACATTAAGGACACCATTCCAGACACACTGGCCCAGTACCAATTTGCCTACTGGCCCTGTACCAATTTGCCTACTTGCCCATAACAATTTGCCTACCGGCCCTGTACCAATTTGCCTACTGGCCCCGTAACAATTTGCCTTTTGCCTACTGGCCCAACAGATCCACAGATGATACAATCTCCACTGCCATATGTAGCCAGGCAAAGAATAACCAGCACAGGACACAAATATATTTTTGGGGTTCTTTATCTCCAGGTAAGTATGGTGTCTGATCTGTTTTGTTAGTTTGGAAAATAATACAAAAAACAAAACAAAAGGAATGACATATAATGATATTTTGGCCTACACAAAATACGGTAGTGGCTCTTTCTACCATGTGGGAAAACATAAAAAAACACTTTTTAGTTTTATGGTTTCAACATTCCATCTAACCGTTACAAAATCGCATCTACACTGAAAAAAATAAATAAACGACATTACAGCTGAAATTTAAACACCTCACCACGCAGCGCGTGCAGAAATAGGCCGTCACCTCTCTCAGCTCTACCCTCACTTAGAACTATATTACAATGATAATTAGTATTGTAGCATATACAGGTTCTCCCAGGACCAAGGACTAGTGGAGATGCGATAAGTGAACCAAGCGACAGCTTTTATTTTTCTGACTTCCAACACACAAAACCACACACAGGATATATACCACATGAGGAGACTGACGGAACACGTACACTTTGTTATGGTGGTCCTTCTTAACAACAGGCTATACAATGATATGGCTACACCGGACACTAAAACTGCTATGACACTATTTACATATGCAGGGTCAGCTGCTGGTCATCATGCTGACCCTCAGACTCTCCCCGCCTACAACTCCCAGCCTGCTCCGCAGTACTATGAGCGCCTAGGTGCGCTTCCTCCTCACCACCGGTCGAGGGCGTTACAGTATTATATTATATTACAGTATTATATTATTACAGTATTATACTTACAATTGCATACACTTAACAAACGGTGCTATACCCATTTCACAACTAAACATAAGTCTCTGTAAAGAATAAAGGAACATGTGAAACACATTACTTACAAATGAGTAAACAGATATTCCTAGCCGGAGTAGATGTCTAAGAAACTGACTACGGCCTCAGTCCACTCGGTTAAAATCTAATATCCATCTTGCTAATCTTGTCTCAATCCTATGAAATACCCCCTTATACTCTTTAATACTTTTGATTTGAGACCTCATTTAGGGTGTAAATAGGGAAACAACACAGTATTTACCGATACAACTCTCTGCAGAAATTTCGTTTTTTTTTTAAACTGTAACTAAAAAAAAAACTAACTCACTGCTTCCTAGTCCCTACTGCCCATGCGCAGAATGCTGAACTCAACCGACAGCAACCGCGATTTAAGAGGCAGCGCAGAGGATTTGGCATAACAGACAGCTATTCACCACTAGGTCACATTCTCCGCTGCTGCATGGTAAACGTCCCGGCGACTATCAACCCTTCACCCCCTTGACTGCCTCCCTTAAAAGGACAGCACTTAAGTTTGTTAACATCTGGGAAAAGACTTGTGGAGTTAAGGAGTCGCATTACAGACAGACTTGGGTTCATGAAAAGGATTAGTGTGCACCCCAGCATTGGCCCTACGACTTCTGCGTGGAACAGGAGTAGGTACATTTACTTCACGGTCACTAGGAGAGGAGCTGGTAGCAGGCTCAGCGCTAGAAGGCTCGGTGTCAGCCTCAGTCCTAACCTGCACAGCACCTGTAGATTCAGGAGCAGGTTCAAACCCAAGAGGCTCAGAGAACACTTCTGATTCACTACCACAGGGGTCAGCACTAGCAACATCTACTGACTCAGGGGAACACCTCCTGAGTTAATCTCGGAAGCGAAACCCCCTCCAACACTACAAATTCTGGAGAAGACTCTGAAGGGGTACTAACAGAGGTTCGTGTGGGGGACCAGTTCCTAACACACCTGGGGGCTGGGACAGGGCCCACACATGACCTTAAATTAACCCTGTGTACCCACTTTATAGGACCACCCTCCAAAGGTTCCACTGTGTGTGTCGTACCCTGCACCTCTACCACCCTATACACAGTAGGTCCCCAAGCATCCTGTATCTTATTTCTGCCCAACGGTCTGTGTCTCACATAAACCAGCTGACCTACACTGACTGGGGGACAGAACTCTTTGTCTTCTTGCAGTGCAACTCTTTCCGCGGCTTTTTGTTCTGCGCACTCTTTGGCTCGGGCGTGTGCTTCGTTCAACCGTTCCTGGTGGACCACCAGCCAATCATGTCTTTTATCCAGCACCACCCGTTGCCCAGCAACCCATCAACAGGTAAGTGAGGATGCGCTCCGTACAGAAGGAAGTAAGGTGAATATCCTGTACCAGCGTGAGGTGTCACATTGTAGGCATAGACTAACTCTGGCAGATGTTCCGGCCAACAGCGCTTCTTCCGTTCACAGTGTGGGTTTCCTTGAGGACCAGATCTTGCTAGTCTACCCTGATGATATCTTGGTGTTCTCTCTGAATTTTGGTGGCCATCTAGGAAGGCTGGAGACAGTGCTGAAGCGACTAAAGGAAACTGGGCTGAAGGCAGCTTGGTAGCATGGTAGCTTGCATCAATCTTTGGAACGTAGCAGGACCATTACAGACCCCAAAAGGCATCCTCCGGGGTTGCAAATGCAGTTTTTTGTCTGTCCCTTTCATGCATAGTGACTTGATGGTACCCACTGGCTAGATCGATCGTTGAGAAGAACTTGGCACCGGGTACCATTTTAATTCAAAAGGGGGTGGGAGTGTGGCACAAGTTACCGAGTCATATGGTCGAAGTCAACATCACAGCTGTGGTCCATTGATGTGGTCTAGACAGCTGGATGAGATCGTTGGATCACAAGTACCATGTGAGGAATGGCCTCATCTCTAATGAAACCTTAATTTTATTCTCTATCACACGTAGCTTAGTTAGTGTCTTGTGTCGGTACGTGGCGCTGTGTATTAGCAAACGGTAACCACACGTCTTCACAGGTGATCACAACGCCATTTTATTTCGTGAAGGTAAGGCACCTGAACTTTTCTCCCCTCGATCTTTGTAATTTATCTATCTGTTGGTTTCAATATGTTATCATGATCCGTAAATAACCGAGTCGTGTTTTAATAATGTTTTATTTGTTTAGTTAAAAAAAAGTAATATATGCGCTCTGAACACATGTAGTGGAGTAATCACGATATTTTTCTGTGATCGAAACTGAATTTAAATTTCGGGCCTAGATGCAGTTTTAATTGTGTTCTGTGTCAGAGATTGTTCAAGACCTGTATGCACTGTGCTGGGACGTTCCCCTTTGCCTTGTGATCGGAGGACTGTCATCTGTCGACTGTGGTTTCATTTTAAAATAATAGTAATAAACGTGCGTGTGTTAAAGTGACGCCGGATCTAAATATAAACAAATTGAAATATAACTCACGAGCGAAAATAAAATAACATCACAAAGTACAATGGGCCTCGCCTCTATTTTCACTTCAAGTTAATTTAGGCGCTTAACTTGGGCATTTAGCTGGAACGGAAACAGAATGCTCTCCTTATACGTTGGAAGAAGAAAGTGCATTACATTTCAGAAGGAACTAAACTCGTAAAAGGTTTATATTCTATAGTTTACCTTGGGGATAAAAATGTAACTTTTCTTCAAAGAGAAGTAGGGAGATTTGTTATGGTTGTTTTTTATGATTTGTAGTGAAGTAGTATAGCTATAAAACAAATACATTTCTAAATTAACACAGTGTAAATATAGTTTTAGCTGTATAATGTGTCATCGCATGTAACTACCTTTGTAACTGAATATTTCTTACTGCCGAATTATCATTAAATCACAAATGACGTTTTTCTAGCCCAAAACAATTATGAGAAATTATGTATAATATGCCAAACTCATTTTTTCCAACAATTACAGTCAACACAAAGAAAAATGTTCTTGTGCCTTTTTATAATAAACATCTATTGAATACGTCGTAAATATGCTGTATAAAATTTGCTAAAGCATACGAAAAAGCACTCAGCGTGAACAAATGACCTACCCCTACAGAGCACCACTGATATTTTTCCTTTGTTTGTTTTTATTTGTGCATTTCATCGTTATTGCGGGAAAAGTACGGTATTTCAAGACACAATTGCCCAGATCTTGTCCGGAAATTCCAAGTCCATTAAACCGAGGTTTTACGGTTTAAGCAGCATGTACCAGACGAGCACGAAAAGCAAATTGACAGTGAGGAGTAAAACGGAGCTCTAGAGGAGACCGCGGTACGCTCACTCACACTTCCAGTCCGCTTCAGGAACTTGCCGCACTACGTTCTCATTACACAAGTAACGTAAACACTCCTTCAGTCGAACCTTTTATTGTGGGACCCACGGGAGTTTTTAACATTAAGCCAAACGTTTTTGTAAATCACGTCTGGGCCTAATCGAAAGAGGAAAAGGATGTGTTAGGATTGAGAACCATCTTGAACAGATACTGTTACATTACGTTTTGCGTTCTAAGATATTTTTTTACTTTTGCACATTTTTTTTTCGTTTTTGAATAATAATAATAATTGCTTACACTTATATAGCGCTTTTTCTGGACACTCCACTCAAAGTGCTTTACAGATAATGGGGACTCCCCTCCACCAGCACCAATGTGCAGCCCCACCTGGATGATGCGACGGCAGCCATAGTGCGCCGAACGCTCACCACACATCAGTGGGGAAGAGAGCAGAGTAATGTAGCCAATTCATAGAGGGGGATTATTAGGAGGCCATGATTGGTAAGGGCCAATGGGAAATTTGGCCAGGACACCAGGGTACACCCCTACTCTTTTCGAGAAATGCCCTGGGATTTTTAATGACCACAGAGAGTCAGGACCTCGATTTTACATCTCATCCGAAGGATGGCACCTGTTTACAGTATAGTGTCCCAGTCACTATACTGGGGCATTAGGACCTACATGGACCGCAGGGTAAGCGCCCCCTGCTGGCCCCACTAACACCTCTTCCAGAAGCAACCTTAGTTTTTCCCAGGAGGTCTCTCAACCAGGTACTGACCAGGCTCACACCTGCTTAGCTTCAGTGGGCTATGAATGTTGACAATTATTTACAAATGATTTACAAATTATTATAATTTAATTGTGTCCCTCCCAGTGAATTTCCTGGGTCTTGAGGAGTTGACAGCCATAAACCTATTAATGTAGAACTGCTGCTTATTTAAAATAACCCCTTTTTTGTTCTTTATTGTAGGTCTTACAATAAGTTACAAATTGTGACTTTATCACCATGGAAGATGGTGAGTAACAGAAGTTTCCCATTGGAAATGTTTTGTGCTCTTGAAGTAAATGAACATGAACATATATTTGAAAAGTGTGATAAAAATGGTATTTTGTGATTCTCTGTGGTAGCGACTCTGATGTGTTAATGACTCATTATAGCATGAATGCAAGCTCCTCACAGTTATATTAGTTTGCCTCTTTAACTCCTTCTCTCTTCCTGTGTTTCACTTTGACGTGAAGTAGCGGTATTTATGCCTCTTGGTCCCCAAGTGTTGACCTGGAGAAAGATACACTTTTCAATATTGTTTTAAGGAAAATCAGTTTCATGCAAATACAGTAAGATTTTAACATGTGTGGGGGCTCAGTGCGAAAACCACCATAAATGATCAAATTCACCTATAGCTAAGTTCACCCTTTACTGACATATAATATACTACAGTATATTGTATGTGTGATTAAAAGTCATAAGTAACCCTCCCTTATGTGATAAAGTACAAGTGCATTGGCTTGAAGTTAATTACTGCTGTTTTATCTTATCAGTGTTATTTTAAAGAAAAACTTATAGTGATCATGTAAAATTGAGCCGATAAAGTTGTCTCCGGCCTGTCATTCCCCATGCTGCTGACAGAACCTGGAGCTTTTGTTACAATATGCATACAAGACCATGTTGAGATGTGGGTGCTAGTTAGTGGGTATTTGGGCAGGGGGCAGGAAGAGGCTCACTCTCTAGCTAGATTTATCTCATGATCCTAGTCTATTTGAAAGTTGCACATAACCCTTGGCTCAGTTTCATCCCATTTTGCTCTTCTTCCATCCAGCATATCATCGGTCAGACCAAATTGTGAAGCGAACTTGCAAAGATTAAATTTGCAGATGCCGAGACTCTACAGTATACTGTACAGCTGCGTCACGTAATGATTGTGTTATATAACTCTTGCTTAGCAGAGAAATGGGACACCCAAATATCCCCCTGAACCTGTAAAAGGCACCCCAGATTAATCTTAAAGAAGAACACACAATATGTTTTCATGATTTTTGCATATAAATAAGTACATAAATTGTAAGTCCTGCACTCATATTGTATTTTATTGATTTTAGGTACACAGTTTCTGCAGAGCTCCTATAAGACATTTGTTGAAAAAATGAATAAACCTTCTCTGAAGCAATTATTGGACTATCTTTACCAAGAGGATATGCTAACAGAGGCTGAAAAGGATGAAATAGAAGCAAGGGAAACACAGTCGGACAAAAACAGGAATGCTTTTGCTATCATCATTAACAAGGGAAACAAAGTCCACGAAACTGTAATTCAGTACCTGAAAGATAATCATAAACATGAATATGAAGCCATGGCCAAAGCAGGTAATTTAAATCTAAAACAAACCCAACTGATTACACCAAAAAAAGTAAAACAACAACAAAAAAAGCAATGTTTACTGTTCATAGTCAGAAGCAAACATTTTGCATCCTCCTTCCATTTATCTATATATTTTTATTATTCTGTTTGTTTAGTTTGATAAACATTTGTGATTTTTTCCAAATATAAGAAGAGCAACAATTCCTAACCCACACAGAGCCCCATTCTCTATCACCTCCAACCTTCTAACTAGAATGAGCCCTAGAGTAAAACCAGATGCCATTGTAGCCTCATACAATACACCGTTGACTACTTCAGCATTAATACTGAAAGCTAGCATGCAACAGCCCTCACTCCAGCTTAGTGAATTCTGCATATAAAAGTTAAAGTTAGAACAGGATTCGGGAATGCCAGGAGCAAGATGCTGACCGTTCCCAACACAACATGAAACAAATCGCTCTTTATGGCTCAGTTAGAAAAGCTAGCAATTGTTAGAAGCCAAGCTTAGAGTTACCATCCAGAAAAACATTTCCCTATTTACAGGTTTCTTCTTGATTGTCTCATTGTTTCCAGACCTTAAACTTCTAGGCACCTCAGATTTCTAAATATGTCCCACAGACAGCATAAATATGGGACTGTGACATATTATATGATGCTGTCTACAAGAGGTCAGATAGATTCTGTCAAGGAAATCTATATGGCTGGATGGTGAGGGTGATTGGAGAAATTTGAATTTGTACTGTCTCAAATATTATCAAAGGAAATGGTCTGATCTGTAAAAGTCTAGTGCCTATTCCAGATAGAAACGGCAGCTAAGGGCTTAAAAGGCACATAATAAACAGAGGAAGACGTGTACTTCAGTTTACCTCTGACATCTCACATTATATACTGATAAACACTTTGCCACCCTGTGGACAACCCAGTCGCACATTGCAGATAAGACTTAAGTATAGAAAAAAGAGCCTAGAAGCTCAGACTTGAAAGGGGAGAAGACCATCCTCATTATCACTTTGCATTCAAATGTGATTTTTTTTGCCATTTCGTTCTGTTCAGATCTTAAACTTCATGGAAAAACAGCCTTCAGGTAGGGAAGACTCCACTACTGAAAGTGGATTTTTGTGCTTGCTGGCTTAGAACCCCATTTTAACCTCTGAAAAGTAGCAATAAACAACAAGAGAATGAGGACTCACTGAAGTCTGTGCAATGCCATGGATACTACTATAGGTTATTTATGTTCTTCCAATTGTGTAATATGCTTATTCCCCTGATAGCTGAGAAAAAGAAGATGAGATTTGGACAGATGCAAGCAAGCACAGGTAAGTGTGCCAAGGAACTTTAAACCTTTACTGCATATTATTCAAGGATATTACATTTATTCATTCAATCTGCTTTATGTATATCCCTTACAAAAAACAATTTATACTATTTATATACAACCTACACAATTCAATTTTAAACATCTCCACAGGCTAGTAGTCTTTTTACATTCCCTGTTAAACCAGCAGCTACCCATTGATTATTATCATCTTACCCAACAGATCTGTCTGCATTTCAATAACATATAACCTGACCTGTGCTGTTAGAACTTAGGGACTTGGGGCTTGTATAGATTGTAGTTAATAACAGCTGGTGGCAGGTGATTTCATTTTTAGGTTGCCTGCTTCTACCCTCCTATTAGATAATCATCTGGATTGATTTTGATATTTTAACTCTTGAGTCTCATAGTAAATCTTTTTTGATATGCTGAAGTAACACTTTCTGTCTGGAAGCACATACAGTAGGTCTTCTTTGCATGTAAGCATGAACTCTTTAGGGCTATTTTCAGATTAATTTAAAGTCCTGTCTCAAAACTTTCTGCCAGACATTAGGCAAATGCTAAACAAAGTACATTATATGCTTTTAATAAAGGCCTGGATTTACTTTGGGAAGGTCTTATTTGTAAAACCACAACACCTAATTTATATTCCAGTAAAAAACAATTGGTTATGAAATTTACAATTGCTCAGTAGGTTGGCCAAAGTTTAATTCCAGTTCTTCTCTTCAAAGGAAGCCAGTCGGATATAGAGAAATACACAGATGAGCATTTGGAGGAAATAATCAAGAATTTGACGAAGGAAGTGGGAAGTATAGAAGTAAAACGAATTGAAAATGAAGTGAAAGATAACGTTTTAAAAAAAATGTGGGCCTTTCCTCCCAGCACGGTGCACGCGATCTCTAAAGATAAAGACATAAACAGTTTCCTGACAAAAGAGGCTTCTGAATGTAGTGGCAAGGCTTTTCCATTGACCAAAGTGATTGGTTGTTTATTTATAAGAAGGGCAAAAGCTAAAACAAATCCTCAGGTGGACACATCAAATAATTCTTCAAATGAAAGTGAATCAATGGAGGACAGTATAGAGGAGAGTTTAACGGAGAGCAGGCAAGAGAACAGCCCAACTGGAGGCAAGTCCATGGGGACTCACTCACAGAGTGATATGCGTGAAACCCTCAGGGACAATAACCCCATAAATAATGATTCAAAAGACAACTGCCTAAATCCACCAGAATCAATTAATTCAGAGGCCAGCAACACAGGCCAGGGAGGTTCATTAGACAGTGGCGTTTCATCCCTGTCACAAAATAATACTTCTAAGGAAGAAATCTGTGACATGGAGACACAGCAGTCCTCTGTCACAGTAGATGATAGTCGTCCTGCCTTCACAGAAGACGTGCCAATATCTGAAGCCTTTGGGAAGGGCCTACCTGCCATTAAAACACTCCCACAAAGGTCAGAAAAAATGCAAAACAAAAGTGTAAATAAGAATGATGATACATCACTAAGAAAGAGTCAGTTCAGTGGCACAGCAAATCCCATCCCAACTGAAAATGCATCACCAGAAATCTCAGGAGAAGTTAGAACTATGGTGAAAAGTGACCCAAAGGATGATGAGCACTCTGACAATCGTGTAAATCAAGCCTCTGCTGATGCAGATGTCGATTCTTCTGTGTGCAAAAAAAACATAAATAATTATTCAAAAGACAACTGCCTAAATCCACCAGAATCAATTGATTTAGAGGCCAGCAACAACTTACTCACTTTGACAGGCCAGACAGGTTCATTAGACAGTGGCGTTTCATCCCTGTCACAAAATAATACTTCTAAGGAAGATATCTGTGACATGGAGACACAGCAGTCCTCTGTCACAGTAGATGATAGTCGTCCTGCCTTCACAGAAGACGTGCCAATATCTGAAGCCTTTGGGAAGGGCCTACCTGCCATTAAAACCCTCCCACAAAGGTCAGAAAAAATGCAAAACAAAAGTGTAAATAAGAATGATGATACATCACTAAGAAAGAGTCAGTTCAGTGGCACAGCAAATCCCATCCCAACTGAAAATGCATCACCAGAAATCTCAGGAGAAGTTAGAACTATGGTGAAAAGTGACCCAAAGGATGATGAGCACTCTGACAATCGTGTAAATCAAGCCTCTGCTGATGCAGATGTCAATTCTTCTGCGTGTAAAGAAAGCAGTCCAAAAAAAAGAAAGTCCAAAACACAGCAAGAGGAAGAGCAAAAATCAGGAAATAGAAATAAAAAGAGACGTAGTGAAAAAATAGACAAATTAAAAACATATTTCAAGGAAACAAATATTGACAAAGGATCTACATTGAAATGTATAAATTACAGAGAACACAATGAGTGCAGACTGCTTACCGTGCATGATAGTATAGTTTATTATGATGTTAATAGTAAGCAAGATGTTCTTCTAATAACTGAAACTCCCAAGGAAAAAAGCGATACATCCAAAGATAATCAGTTTTCACACATTTTAGGATTACCAAAGCTTTTTGAGTCTCAACTGCAGCTTCGTATGGGTATTTTAGGAAACATCATAAGAGCACATGTTCTATTTAGTGGTAATAAAAAGCCTCCGTACAAGCTCGGGTATAAAAAAACCTACTTTTTGGATGTACTAGATACATTCAAAAGCTTTGTTGTTGAGATCCTCATTCCAGTCCTCGCAGTGTACAAACAATCCCAGAAGGAAACAATTTTAAAGGACTTTGAATAAGATTATGTACTGTAACTATGTCTTCTACACTCATGACTTTCATAGAAAATCCAATGTAACTGAGTATAACCTTTGTACAAACGTGTAGAAAACAACAGTGTAAATCTGAAGTTTCCTTGAAGCTGAAATTTCTCATCACCTTCTTGTGACAGCTGGTTGGGCATGTTGCAGTAGGAGCTTTAGAATAGGCAGCTCCAGGTCAGCATATATACTGTATGCTCCAAACACACAAGGTATAAAAAAGGGTATAAAATTCCCATGCAAATAATTTACAGTACAAGGAATCAAATCGAATACCAAAACAAAATAAGCGCTCCTATCTGAGGTAATGACTACATTTTTCCACTAGTCTCTAACTAGCATATTGGACAGCTAAACTGCTCAAAGCAGACAGCTCTAATACCTGGTCTCCACAGAGACTCTTCAAAACTTCCAAACAAAGTATCTTCCCAAAATGTCAGCATTCGGTCAGTTCTTCTCCCTCCGATGACTGGACCACACAGGGCAGTCCATCTTCTGTCCTCTTGACAGCAAACATCATTCTGCTGAGTAAGAGAGAAAGCCTCCGTTTCCTGATTTTTAAACAGCCACCTGCCCAGTTGTCTTCCAGCAACTGGTCAGGTGTCTGAGAGCAGCAGCTCATTCCCCCCTCAGAGGTTTCTGGGAAATGTAGTCTCAATATTCTCATTGCACTTGTACTCCTTAATGCGCTCCTGTTTAACATGATACATATAGGTTATCTCCAAAGGAAGAAGTAATAGGTTTATTCCATGCTGTAAAGAGAAGAAAGAAAATGCAACGTTTAGGCTGTGGAGCCTTCTATGCATATTCTGTATCATGATCTTTCTCTTTTAATTTTGTACTTCATCTGCATTGTACAGTATACTGCTCTTGCTGAACTATGTGACTTCAATACTGTTGCGGTGCTGTTGTAAGTCATTGTATCCTTATAATTACTTGTAAATAACCTTGGAGAACAGTACACATCGATGAAGAATAATTATTGAACATGTTAATATTTTACAATTTCTAATTAACATAACAGTAATTAACACATTAAGTAATCAAAAGACAGATTAATTTGATGTTGAAAAGACATTTAATGTATTTTCCCATATTATAATGTTCTAGAAATTTCAAATAAGTTAAGGAGACTTTCACAGCCACTGAAAAAACTTCTGTTTCTTAGGTATTTCTTTTCAATTTGATCAGTAACAATAACTGTAATATAGAGAACTGTGAAAACAACGTTTCAAAGTGATTTACAAATACGTTAAAGCTGGAAAGGTCTTCATTTGAAGGGCTTTAGGTTTCATCTCCGCTATCGATAAGTTTACAAATTTAGAAAAAAGCCACAGCATGCTTTTTTATCATCTTTCATGACTGCTTGTTACTCCAAGCTTTTAGAATCTTAAATATAACCACATTTTTACAAGAAAGGAGTGGTCCTCTCTAAGCCTCTCTAGGACTGGGCAAGGTCCGTGTCTCGCCAGCCTCTGTAGGGGGAGGATCAGTGCAGCCCATTGTCTGTGTTCCTCTGTGTCCCAGTGGAATGAAACAAACTCTACAGCACATCCTAGAGGACTGCCCACTCCACAGAGTCACCGGAGGACTCCACACACTTAGCTCTGCAGGGTCCAGAGCTCTCACTTGGCTCCTAGACTTTGCATTTGCTAAATAAACTGTGAGTAACTTGTTCACTTGTGAACAAACTGTGATCTGCGGTGATTCAAGGTTTTGCAACAAGTTTATGCCTACAGACGTACTACAAAGAGGAAAACAGGTGGTTGGGTAAAGGTTGGGAAGCAGGTGTTTCCTATGCTGCAGCCCTGCTTTGGACATTTGAAGGTTACTTGAGTGTTTGGCTCCGTCAGGGGCCATGTTTAACCCATGAACTAGTCCCCAGATCAGAATATCCCACTAAATTTACCGGAGTCACCAGACCTGTATCACAGTGCACAGACATTGACAGCTAGTGCTAAAGTGGCTTAGAGCATCACTACTATATACTATTACATTGTCTGTTTTGTTCTGCATGTTTTGGTTGTATCAATAAATGATATATTGTTTATTTAGAATCTGTGTGTGAGACTGTAGATTATTATGTTTGATTCCTAACAGTGATCAAAGACCTCTTGCAATTTAATGTTCCAAGTTCTAATTGGTACAGGATGTGAAAACCTTCACACCATTACTCTCCAACAGTACAGGTGTTACAGTAATTTAATATTGATTAATGAAAGGTTTGTAATAATACTTCAAGGTCTTAATTGACCAATGTTAGGCGGGCAGAAGAAAGATACTCGTTACATTCCTCACATCCAATTTAAGTGATAAAACCAAGTTCTCAAACTTCTATCAAAGGACTGATTTCAGCACTGTAGAGAACTATGCTGAGGTCATAATCATTGCAAATCTGGTGTTGAATGCCTGTGAGCACAACCTCAATATTGTCAATTTTAGCAGCAGTATTAGTTATCTGATTTAGTGTATAAATAATGTACAATAAATAAATGTGTCATCAGTACAGTCAGGCAGATAGCAAAAGGCCTGACCAAGTGGCAACAAGTTAGCACATCCCAGGGACTGTTAAACGCTCTTGAGTTTGTAGGACACCTCCACATGTAAAGTAGCCATGATTTCTGAATGAGCTCCTGGTAGCATAACAGGAGTCAAACAACTAGAAGGAAGAACCACTGATGACTAGACAACATTCCATGCAATCCAATAGGATCCTGCTATTGATAATAGTAAATGTAATCAAATGCAGAAGAACAAGTAAAGGTTCATTCTATGCTGAAAAGAGAAGAGCAGAAACAACGTTTCGGCTGTGAAGCCCGACACCTGAAGAAGGCTCCACAGCTGACACAGTTACTTTACTGAACTTCTTAGATCCAGAAGGAACACAGACATCAGAAGACTTAAATGACCTAGACTCACAAACCATCACAAAACACAGACATTCCACCGTTCAGCCTTCCAGACATTTTATTACGATTACAAAATATTTCAGAAGTCGAAAGATTCGCAGCACATTCTCAGCATCACACAGTGACCTCTTATAATATTATCATATATTATTTTCCAATAATAATGTCCCACAATGATTTCCTACAGGAGAACTTGATCAATGATACAAGGTGAGAAAATAATATGAAAATCTGGTGTTCTTCACATCAGGTCTTTACAGGGCAGAATTAGCTAATTTCGCAGTTTCTTTAATTGAGCCTATTCAGCTTTTCCCAGGTCAGCAGCAACAGGCTGTGAGCCTCCAGGACCGATTCCGAAAACCATCATTTTACAGGTGCATAGTGAGTGGTGCAATAGCACTGCGAACAGTGAGGCTAGTAGGGGCAGGGTAGTAGTACTGCATTCCTGATGGGTTTTGAAGAGCTACACAATACTTGATTGATTCTTCCTCAGTACTTCTATTGCAAGGAGCATTTTCAGAAGAACAGCCAGTATTTGTCCCCCTCTCAGCCCATTTCTGTTGACGACATAATTGTACAGCAACAGCACCCTCTTCAGGGCACATCATGTCAGTACCAGTCATCCCAAGGCTCCACCCTTGTGTTTCTGGAATCAGTGCAAACTCAAGTACTCTCTTCTAACAACTGAACAACTTTAACAGCTGGACACCACAGACCCCAAAGTGCCCTTTCTTAAAGGTCAAAGGTGACGAGCCACTGTGCCTCTGTGTGGGAGAGGAGGAAGTGGTCTGTGTGTGCGCGCGTGTGCGCGCGCGCACACACACGTGACACTTCACAACATGTTGTGACTTCCCCTGAAACAGAACAGATCAATGCCTGCGAGGGCCTGTCTGCCGGCTCACCTCCTGCAAGGTGGCTCAGCTTAACCAGGCGGGGGGCGTACAGCCAGCAACAGGAAGGGCGAAATTCATTGTGAACCCTGAAATTTCGGGGGTGCTGGTGTGAAACACGTGTCGGTTTTATTTGAGAAACAAGGCATTTAGAAGACGTGAATTAATTACAGCGAGGAAAACAAAAATGTGACACAGAGCCCCTCCTGGATTCGGCCTGGCTGCTCTGAGAAGTGTCCCGGGTGTACGGCCTGGTGAGTCTTTCCTGCTGTGACCTCTGCAGACAATCTGTCTTTCTGTGACGGCAGATTCAACTGCAACCCCACTAGCAAGTGATGAAGCCCTGTACCCCTTGCTGTTCGACTCCAGCTCACACAGTGCCCAGTGGGGCCATCTGGAGGCGGTCTGTCCCAAAGGAGAAGCCCCTTCCCCCTGCCTGGAGCATACAGACGCAGTTACAGCTGGGGTCTCTCCTGCGGCTACGAGCGACAGACGGGGAGGGTCTCGATCACCCTGAAAGCAGGCCGAGATGCCGAGGGCGAAACCAAGAACGCTTCGACTTAAATATCTGGAGGCTAGGCACCGTGATGCACAAAGCAAGAGGACTACCAAACAGTGTACCCACCTCTTCAAATAAGGAATAAAAAATACACCCCCCCCCCAAACATGTTTAGGTGCTGTGCATGAAGTTTCACCTTGGCGCAGTTAGGATTTGGGGATTAAAACATCACGGGGAAAAAAAGGAGCCAGAAAAGTCCACTGTGGTTTTAAAGCCCAGTAAGTGAGAAAGAGAGTTGGGTGAAAAGTGCAGGGATTCTCCTTTTAGGGAAGGGGGGGGGTGGGGGAGGTATACATGTAAACGTCATCACCCCCCTAAGCCTCCACTGCTCTGCAAATGCAGACTATCATCATGACAATGCACCCCCCCACCATGAACAGCCCCAGGAAGATGTAGACCAGCGTGGTGGCCCAGAAGGCGAAGAGGTACAGCGTCTTGTTGCAGAAGTCGGGCTCTCCTCTCGTGTAATTGGGCTGGTAGATGGAATAGATCCAGACGTTGCCTGCGGGCCAGAAGGATAAACATCTCAGGCACCACCCCCACTCGAGCAGCTCGCAGTCAGGTCCCTGCTTGATCTCGCAGCCCGGCTAGCTGGCACCAGGGCTAGACCGTCGCAGGTTCCCATAACTACTACACAAATACGCCTCTGAAGGAGCTGTTTGCACAGTTTGCCATACTTCTTGAAGGACTCGTTTTGGTGGTTATTTCTATCGTAGCTAGGCCCTCTCGTTAGTATCTAAATGACATTCCAAGGTGCAAGGCAACGAGTCACTTCCTTATCTCACCGGGCACGTTAGCTTCTTCGACACAGATCACGATACGATTGCCGTGAAAATCTAGGCAGCAGGTCCTTTTATACCCGGACTGAGATTGATAGCCATGGTGATCAAACCTCAGAATGAGGAAGAACCCTCCCTCTCTCCCTCCCTCCCCTCCACACCCTGGCACGCGGCCCCACCTGCGATGAACCAGCAGAACAGGAAAAGAGACGTCAGGGAGTTCCAGGTGGTGCACAGGCTGCTCAGCATGCTGCTGCTGCCCCCCTCCTCCTCCTCCTTGGCGCAGGGCAGGCAGGACAGCAGACTGAGGACAACGGAGAAGACCCCCGTCACCAGCAGGTAGATGGGGATGTAGCGCTGGCTGGGGCAGTCGTGCAGGTACAGGGTGCCTGAGACACAGCCAGGACAGGAGACGAGGAGTGAGGGAGATGCACAGAGACAGCAGGACCCCCAGGGAGGCCATTAGACTGAGGGGCAGAGAGACAGTGAGGCAGGGAGGACAGAGATCCAGAGACTCTGAGGTCAGAGAATCAGAGGTGAAGGGAGGCAGTGAGGCTGGGAGGACAGAGATCCAGAGACTCAGGTCAGAGAATCAGAGGTGAAGGGAGGCAG